TGTATCTCATTATTACTGACATGAACCAATTCCTAAAGATATTTTAATTTTCCAATCTTTCTAAATAGGGGTCTACCTTCCTTTTGTGGAAAGGCATTCAATAGCCATTTTATATACAGTGTTTACTATACCAAGTAATTAAATAATGGACAGAGTTATGGTTCTAACGTAAGTTAAGCATTCTTTCCAATATTAGATTGATTAGAGGATTTAAAAATTTTTTATATCATTCACTATTTTTAATCTCTTTTACTAGGTATCTGGTATGGAATTCTTGAAGGAATTGGTATATTGGCTGTGATCACCAATGCATTTGTAATTGCTATTACATCTGATTACATCCCACGTTTTGTCTATGAATACAAATATGGTCCCTGTGCAAGTCATTTTGAATATGGTGAAAAGTAAGGTTGAAATTTACACATTTTCCTGATATATTTTATGTTTGTACTTAAAATGGGAACTTAATGGGAAGTTTTCTTCTGTGAGCATTAGGGGCAATGGTTCAGATCACTGCATTTATACTGTGTTTATTGGATAAAATCAAGCAGTATAAAAAGGGCAATGGTTTTTTACACAAATAATTTTAGAGTCTATGTTTTCACTTGTAAATCCATTACTGACCTCAAAATGTTACAAAATGTTATAATATATATAGAAGTTAAATATAGAAATGGAAGAGACCTTAGAAATTATCCAGTGCAAACTTCTGACTATGTAGGCGGGGAAATTGAGGTCCTCACTGGTTAATCAAATTGCTGAAGGGAACATACAGAATATGAAGGAACTTTCAGCTATATGACTAGAGATTTTTCAAAAAGAATTTACTGCTGGTTGTCCTGTGCATTGTAGTGTGTTTAGCAGCAGTCTTGGCCTCAACCCAGTAGATATTTATAACAGCCTTCCTGCTCACCAAGTTGTGACAACCAAAAATGCCTCCAGACATTGCAGAATGTGCCCTGGGGGACAAAATCACCCAGTTTAGAACCACTGATTTAGGGGCTATGGCTTTTTCAGATCTTTCCTTCTGGAATGCAGGTATTAGGGACGAATCAAGAGAGTACTGGGCTTGGGAACAAAGAGAAATTGGAGTTTCAGTTGGAGATTAGCCTTAGGTATGGAAGTTGAGATAGGAGATAAAATGATAGGAGAAGCTGCTTCCCCTTCTGCCTTCAGGAGTAGTTTTGGGCCTGTGTCTTATCTCGATGCAGGACATGTGCCCCAACTGGTTGAACCCTGTTTTAGGATGAAATCAATCCTTAGTTTTGCTGATGAACTGATGTTTCCTGAGAACACTGAAATGCCTTTCTGAACATAAACGTTTCAGTTTTTCAAAAAGAGGTTATAAAGGCATGCGATTTTTAAAAATATATATTTTAGAGTCTTGTCAAAGGATTTTAACTTGAAATCAAACACCCTAGAATCTAGTTCTAATTTTTCCTTTTACTGAAAGGCACATCATCAATCTGGACCTATGAGTAAGAAATGGTGTCTGAAGTAACATTTTATGTACTGCAGAACACTATATGAATTGGTTTTAGTAATAAGAGTGAAAAACAAAAATAAATCCCTTTGTTTTCTTAATTCTGTACAATGCTCTAGAAGCAGATTTTAAAGATTTAAAACATGTAGACATATTTGGCAACCCTCTTCCTTAGAAATATTATTTGCTAGTGTCTTTACTGCCACCTAGTGGCAGAAGAAAATGAGATTGGTAGAGTATCTGCTCTGTTTCCTTTCAGGATCTGCCTGTCACTCAGGTAGATTCCATCTGACCCCTTCTCCATATTGAGTGACTAGGGATGTAGAATAATTTCAAGAAGAGATGTGGAGGGTATATGTGAAGTTGAAACCACACATACATAAGGTCATTCTGTTATTTAATCTTTTCCAGGTATGTGTAGCAGCTAAATTAGAATAGATCCATAGATTGGAAATTTTCAGATCAAGGTGATAAGAGGATAAGAAGACAGTGAAGAGGAGGGCATTGGCAAGAGAACAGTCGAAATGATAAATTATTAGGTCTGGGATGAACAAAGAAGGAAGTGAATCCAGTATAGCCCTATAATTAAGATTTCAGGGTTTAGAATGAAATAGATGTGCAGTGGAGTCCAGGTTCTAACAGTTGTTTATCCTGGGCAATGGTTCTCAATATGTGGTCTGCAAATCTCGATCAGGGTCCGTGAAGTCGATACTATTTTAATAATAATGCTAAGACATACTTTTCTTTTTTCACCATATTAACGTTTGCACTGATGGTGCAAAAGCAATAGGGATGAATTTTTCTGGTGGCTTTGCATAACGCAAGACAATGGGACCAAAAAGTACTAGTCATGATTGTATTCCTCACCACTATATAGCCACCGTTATTAAAGTGCCAGCAAGAAATTTCAGAATGTCCTTGATAAAACAGTAATAACTATTAATTTTACCAAATCTCTACCCTTGAATAAATGTCTTTTCAGTATTCTATTTGACAAAATGCAAAGTATGTATAAAGTACTTGTATGATTGTTGGAGTTACAAACTCAACAAACTTCCTTTAACATAAAATAATGATTGCCAAAGTATGATTATTCAGACTTAAGTAGTTAGCAGACACTCATAATATGCACAAAACAAGCTTGTCATTTTAGGGAAAATAATGTACAGTGTTTTTGCCGTTAATGAATTTCAAGCTTGAAATGAAAATTAGAAAACTAGAAAATAGGGCCGACCGAGTGGCTCAGTTGGTTAAGAGTTCACTCAAAGAGTGCGAGCTCTGAGCAACAGCGGTTCGATTCCCAGACCAAGCTGAGCTGCTGCTGAGCTGCCAACAGGTGGCAGGATGGCTCAGCTAAAAAAAAAAAAAGTAGATAACATTTATCTACTACTGTGAGCGTGAAGCTTCCAAGAATTTACAGATTATTTTTCCTAGGAAAAACCAATGGTGATATTAACATTTGTGATTTTTCATGGTCTATAGTAAAAATATATCGATATTTGGAAGATCTGCATAACTCACAGAACAAATATTTTTGAAATGATGCATATTTGATGTTTACAAAATCATGTGTGGATAATAAATGAATTAAAAGTTCAAGATAGACCTATAGATTTTAATGTAAAATCCATGTAAAAACCTTATTGATATGCTTACGTTCCACATTGCAACTAAACTTTAAGAAATGGCCTTAGTAAGAGCTTTGGTGTTGTATCAAAGAAAAATGTCAACAGTAATCTGAAATGCTATTAAAATAGTCCTCATTTTTCCAACTACTTAGCTTTGTGAGGCTAGATTCTCTACTTAACTCTTCAACCAAAACAACGTATTACAACAGATTAAATGCAGAAGCAGATATGAAAATCTAGCTGTCTTCTGTTAAGACAGACATCAAAGGGATTTGCCAACATGTAAAACAAGATCATCCTTCTCACTGCAATTTTCTTTTAGAAAATATAGCTATTTTTCTTAAAAATGTGTTATTTATATTAATTTATAACAGACTTGATAGTTATTTTGAATGAATTATTAGATAAATATTTTCTAAATTTCTTACTTTAAATTTCTAATATGTTAAAGATCAGTAGATATACCCCTATGAAAAAAGCACTTTGAAATCCCCAATAATGTTTAAAAATGTTAAAGGTGCCCGAGACCAAAAATTTTGAGAATTTTAGGGCCTAAAGAAAGTAATTTAATCCCTGTAAACCTTAGCTCTTTTATCCATATGATGGAGATAAGTATATATATATATATATATATATATATATATATATATATATATATATATCCTAAGGTTATTTTAAAAATCAACCCTGACCACAATTAAACATCTAACTACCAGGATAGAGATTATTGCCTGTTTTGTTCATTGTTGAATACCAAGCATCTAGAATTCTTCTAACAAATTGAGATTCTCAATAAATATGTATTGAATAAGTTAATAAATAAATCACAAAGAAACATGTTTATCAATTGGCTGTTTAATTATAATTAACAAAATAATATATATGCAATATTTATAAAACATATATTTATAGTTTTAATCCATAGAAAGTAATTACCACAATGCCTAGTTCATAGTAAACCCTTAATAAATGTAAGCCAAATGAAAGAGTAGGATCAAAACTATTGCGGGGGAATGGTGGACACCAGTCTGTCTCATTATGTACAATTAACAGATGTAATGGGATTTAGGGAATAGAATTAGCTGAGATGCTAGTTTATAATTAGAACGAAAGGAATAATGGCACTTATTAAATCCTGTCATTTGTTCTGTAGAAATTGGACTAGGTATTTATGAGTCTCTGAATCACATGATACTTTTCTTTTCTCCCAGTTGTTTAAAGGGATATGTCAACAATAGCCTATCCTTCTTTGACCTGAGCGAGCTTGGTATTGGAAAGTCTGGTTATTGCAGGTACTGACTTATAAATTATAGTTATCTTTTCTTCTTGACTTCACCATCCCATCTCTCCCCTGTACATGTTAATGAGCACGCTTCAACTGTCATTTTGGAGTTTTGGCAAATCAAGGACATTTGGGGCCTCCACACTTTGGTCTCCGTTTTTCAATTTTGTTTTTTGTTGCTGTCGTTTTTGTGGATTTTAGATACCGAGACTACAGAGGTCCCCCTTGGAGTTCCAGACCCTATGAGTTCACCTTACAATACTGGCATATCCTCGCTGCTCGGTTGGCCTTCATTATCGTGTTTGAGGTTAGTCACAGACTGATAAAATTACTGTAGGTAAACTTTTTTCCAAGTGATACAGTGGTTGCCCCTTTGAAGTCACTTTCTCACTGACTTCCAAAACAGGACTTGAGTATGTCCCAGTAAAAGGTTCAGTTACAGTGAAACCACTATAAAAAAAAAAAAAAAGGAAAAAAGCCAGAGCTGAATAATGTAAGAAGGTATGTTAGTATTTGTACCAGAAAACTAGGATAAAAGAAGCTACTCTCATATGAACTGAAAACTTAGTTTTGAGCCTCTTAGTAACCAAATTTGAAAAGGAAAGGATGATTTTTATCATCCTTTAAGAGTCCATATCTATTCATCAAAATAGAGAAAGTTATTTTCTGAACAATCAACTCAAATTACAGTTGATCACATGTGTATTTGTATGAGACATTGCATAATTCAATCAATTATACCTGAGGATGCTTTTATAAAAATGCATAGATTTTGATTCTCAGAGTCATGCAATAATATTTGATTATAGCCCTGTGAAGAATTTTTAGAGAAGCTACAGAATTATTGCCTTGCTTAGCATAAAACCAGCTTGATACCAGATGAAGAGCTTAGCACTGGACTGTATTGAGTATCTGTTCTCTGAGGTACCCCTAAAGGTCTGTGGGAAAACTTTGAATGCATCTGTTTCCTGTGGCCAAAATTACAAAGAGGAAAAGCGAGCCAGGAAAGAAACTCCGGGCCTACTTTTCTGTGGGACAATGAGACCTACTTTACTTTGATCCACTGTGCAGTGAAGTTTCCTGGGGCACATACAGCAAGTTCAGTTAAAAGCCTCGAATTATTCCTTTCCATCTAGAGAGACTATTGTCACAAGTCCTTTATGTAAATGGGTTCTTTTCCATAGATCATCCTAACTCTATCAGTCTCAGATTTTTTTTTCTTTTCTGAGAAACTGAAAGATCTATCCTTCTTCATGGGAAAAGAAAAAGGGTACATCAATAATAATAGGAGGTAATATTCAAGTAGTGCTTATACTGTGCCAGGTACTCATTTAAACCCATCACATAATTTACTCATTTAATCCTTATACCAGCCTTTAAGAGATACTATTATTATCACTGTTTTAGAGGTGAGACACAGAGAACAGAGGTGATTTGCATGAGGTTAAACAAAGTAGGGCAATCTCATTCAGCATCTGTACTTTTAACCACAGGAATATTACCTTTTGATTTTTGTTCCTGCTTTTTTATATGTAATACATTTGTCAGTCTGTTTTTAATCATAGAAGAATTATGTAATAGACATAAAAATGATAAAGCAGTTATGATATACGTAGAACTTAGTAGACGTCCTGAAAAATGGATGTGCTGGAGGTTGATGTGAATTTAAGATTCATTTGTTGTTTATAAGGTGATATCAACATATATGTCAGTGAAAGAAGAAACAATTGTTTTCTCCTAATACTTACGTGATATAAGGCAATAGTAATATTCCCAGTATAATGTTAGAAAATGTTAATATTTTTCAGATGATACATACTGAGTTCTGAGGCTTGTAAGACAAATGCAACATTGTTCATGATTGTTCTGTTTGATTTATAATCAGCATTTCAGAATCTTTGAAAAGTATATTTTCCTTTCTCACATTTGCAGCACCTTGTTTTTGGGATCAAGTCATTCATTGCATACCTGATTCCAGATGTACCAAAGAACCTGTATGACCGAATACGACGGGAGAAGTACTTAGTCCAAGAAATGATGTATGAGGCTGAACTTGAGCATTTGCAACAACAGCGGAGAAAAAGTGGTCACCCTGTTCACCATGAATGGCCTTAGCTGATACCTGTTGCCCAGCAGGGGCAATACCATTAGTGACAATGACAGCAACTTCAAAGTCTAGGTGAGATCTAGGATGAAAGCATACCTGGCAAACCACATGTATAATATTCTGCTTGGAAATGCATCACACCCATCTCTGGGATTTGTAATATCCAGGCTTCTAGGAGGAAAAAAGATGATTCATGACCTTAAAAAATGGTTAGGCTGACATTATAGGAAGCCAGGGTCAAATTCTCAGAAGCAGCCTCAGGGAGTTGTGTGTTTGGAGACCTTCACCTTCCATCAGCTGCAGGGTCATAGGAAGGGTGCTGGTGAGGTTTCTAGAGGCAGATTTCCTTGTAAGTGTCCACAAGCCAAGCAAGACTTAAAGTATCACGCAGCCTTCATTCTCCCAGTAGTCTGACTTTGAAACCTTAGGTTGAGTTGAGATACTTATAAGAAATGACCTCCATTGATTGTTGCCTTTGCTGCCCGGACTCCATGTCCCTTCAGCTTACAGATTTGTAGGAAATTCCCTCATTTCTTGCTGAGACTATGGACCTGTGCCACAGTGCATTTATGCTGCTCCACACTGACTATGCAGTTGAAGAGTTGCACATCACCCTTAGCCGTCAAACCAAAAACCTGAGACTCCAAAAAAATACCATTCATTGAAATAACATTCCATTGCATTGGTTACATTCAAATCTGTTGTATCACTGGCAGAACCAGTTGCACTGAATTTTTTTTTTTTTTTTACTAAATGCCAATAGACCCACATACTTATAAAATATAGGTGTTTATTCTCATATCCTTTAGAATACTACTAATTCATATTTTACTGTGGAAGGTGGTTTTATAGTATATTTAATTTTTCCTTTGCTGATTTATGACATCAGGTCTCACAGAATAATTGGAAATGCTGTAAATATGTTGGTCCCCCTTGTACCTTTGCACCTTGACTGTCTGTAATGCAAGTTACCATTTGTGCAGCTCTGAGACCAATTACCCAGTTAAGCCAATGTGACTTGTTTATTCAGGAAAACAGAAGCCAGATGCTTTGCAACTCTTATGCTTTTCCAACAATGTGCACTCTTGCTCAGAGCTAAGGAAAACAATGCATGGATATAAATTGATACTATTTGTAAAAACGACATGCGTATTTTTGAGTTATACTTTATTTTCATCACTGAAGGGAGTTTTCTTTCATTATTTCTTTGATAGATTGATTTGGTTTATGTTTGAAGACTCTCTAGAAACAAAGGCAAAATAATTATGAAAGAAATTACTTTGCTTTGTGGTGGAGTTGCTATTTCAGGGTCAACTTTGTACCTGTGAGTATGACTGTTCATGGATGAGGTGGAAGGATGGGACCTTTAACTACAGAAAGTCTGGTGAAGGCATAAGCTATGGGGGCAGGATGGGAAGAAAGGGAAGGGTTGCATTAAAAGAAATGGATGGTAAGAATCAATACACTTTTCCTTGTAAAACAAGGTTCTCTCCATTTTCCTGCCCTGGGAATGGGGTGCGGACTAACACATACTCACAGTCATACATATATGTGATGATTATTATGATTTGTCCAATTAATTTTTGCCCAATTAAACAAAGCACAATTATTTCCAAAATGTATAAATCCCTGTGATTAAACACAATGGAACTAAAGCTACTTTCTATATGTGCTATGGTTCCCCTAGCAAGAAAATGATAAAGTTTCTCTTACTAGAAAAGTATTTTTATAATTCTAATACTAATTTTTTTTTAATTCCTTCTTTCCTTCTAGGGAAAAGCTGATAGGTTATAATTGTTGGTTGGTTTATTTTGTCAAAAATACGCACTTCCCTACTTGCCTTCTGATTTTGAGCAAGAGGGAGAACCGCAGACTCTAAATGTCCCTCAGATGCCCTTGCCATGTGAGACTCTTCCAGTCAGATGACAGGGAGACTCTGTTTCTGCCACATGGTTATTCATAGCAACGAATCCCACTAACTCTACAAAGGAGTTTTAAACTCCTTCATTTTTGGAGCATCTACATTTCCTTTTTTTTGCCAGTTAAATGTATACACATGCCTGAGAATAAATGTTCTTTATGCCTGTTGAAGACATAAATGAACCTGACATTTCTGTCTTTTCCAAATTAGGGACACAAGGCAAAGACATTCATCTTACGGTAGAGCAAAAAATAATGATCGCCGTACCTTTGAGAATTCTTGTCTTTCTGAGTTAGTTTTATATAACCACCCTCAAGGTTTAAAATCATATCGATTGCCTAAAGAGAAAAAGTATGAAAAGAGAAAGGTATTTTTAATAAGAAATTATACGACATTGATTTAGACAGTGCCATCTCTGATGTTTTTTGAAACTGATGGAAAATTGGAGAAACAATGAAAAAAAGTATCTGAACTTTGCCTTTTGTGAAACAGTGTAGTAGAATCTAGCTATGCCTTCATCATTGTTGACAGCAAAAACACTGACTGCCCTTGGGAGGATGTTAGTTTTAGATCACACTGCTTTAGTGGAGAGAAATGTTTTATACCATGGTTTTCATATGAATACAAATTATTTCTTGAAGATTTATATAGCACACACTTTTCTCAGGAATTCTGTATTACATGAATGCTGCTTCTATATTTTCCTATTCTAAATTGTTGTCTTTTCAAGCAAATTAATATATATGTGCATGTAGTCAGCCTGACAAGTTGTTCAAAGCTGAAGTACTTTCATGGTGTAGTGTGTGGCAATTTGCTTGAGATTGTAACAGAAATAGTTTGTAATTGTCTGACCCTGTGCATGCACTTTTAGATAAAATGCTGCTGAGTGACTGACTGCATGAGGTACAACTTTCAAATGCTGCACTTTCTTCCAGAACAACTCTTAGCACAATCTATTGTGGAATGGAATGAAAAGAAACCTTTTTCACTCAATAAATTATCATGTGATATTTTTTTCCTACACTTTGCTTGTTAACTTTAATGCTGCTTGATTTTTCAATATTAACTTGGGACATTTTGAGTGTGTACGGGGAGAGGGCATTGCTCGCTCTTCAGCTCTGCAAGGACCATGGTTTCGGATTCCTGCAAGCCCTTCCCCGACGCTTTAAAAGTTTCGCTGCTTGTCTGATAAACTCATTGCTGTCATCAAGGCATTTGCACTTAGAAGTGCAGATGTGGTATCGTATTGATCCTAATGGTGCTCTGTGCTGGAAACAGATGGGAGAGGAATCTTGCTTCATTCTCATGAGGGTAATAATGCTTCTATTACACACTCAAGCTGTCTCTACTGATCATCATCAAAATCTCCTTAGGACGAATTTTAATATAGCTATAGTTCATGCCGAGGAAGGAGGACCTGTAGGCACACTGTAGCCAACTGTCAACAAGAGACTACCAACTTGACCAATGTTTTTCTCCACTTGATGGTCAAAATTGAAAATCCAGGTTGCCTGATGAGTTACTTAACTCATATGGCTGAATTTTATTAGTCTGTCTACTGGGGGGCAGGGTAGACATAGGTCCAGAGTGGTGTGTGTGTGTGTGTGTGTGTATGTGTGTGTGTGTGTGTGTGCGCGCGCGCATGCACGCATGAGAGCATGCATACTTTTTGTGCATGTAAAAACCAGTGAACACTTACTCTCTCTGAGATATGCCCAACTGAGTCCTACTATGGTTATCAGGTATTTCCACTCCCTTTTGTCTCAAATCACAGTATTATAACAGGCTTTGGAAATAGTTGTAGGTTATATCCAGGGAATCAGTTAATATCTAATCTTTTTCCCAGTATCCTCAGTAACTCAGAAAAGAACCTTTTGGAATGGCCTGAAAAACCCAACTTCTGATGGAAAGGTGAGAATTTTTTTACAGACATTTCTATTCAAAATGAAATGTGCCAACAGTACATAATCTAAAGGGAAGATTGATTGGGCTTTAGCTTGAATCGTTGTCCAGCCTAGCTTGCTGCCAACTAGTATTTATGTATTTGTAATAGTGATACGTTACCTTCAATTGAACTTGCCATATGGGTTCATCTGAAATACCACCCCCATGACCACATTTGATGGCTTTCTTTCTAGAGAGCACAGCTGTTCTAGCCACTGCATTCTAGCTACGTCCACGTTAAGGCATCTTTTTTAGGAAAGTAAGAAGAGAGCACACAGGTAGAGAAGAGACTCATATTTGGGACCAGATCCAGTTCTTGTACCATCAAAGTCGACTGTCAGGGAGAAGAAACCTAGACGTTTAATCTTACTGCTTTATGTGCGCCCCAGCACAATTCTCCCCATAGAAAGCCTCTTGTTCCATGCACAGCTGGCCCAAAGTGGGAGTCTAGCATACACTAGATAGTCAGCTGTGTAGATGCTGCTTTACACCTTTCCTAAGAAAGGTGGGGGTAACATTTCCAGGCATGTACCTATATTGACTTCTTCAGAATTTAATATTTATTTCCATCACAATTCTCATTCTCTGTGTGGGAAAAACAGTGTCTCGGCTCTTTATTTTCCAGGAAGCAAAAATTTCCTAAACTATTAGTTGAAAAACAAAACTTAATAAGATCTATTTAGATATTCCTCACAGAAATAATTGTCATTTAGATGGCTAGCCTCAAGCTGCCTCAAAACGTTTATAATTATTTTGTCAGTGTCCATGCCACTGAACTCCCTACCAGCTGAACACTTTAAGCCAAATTTAATATCTTTCTAAAACAAGTAGCATGAGAGGAATTTTCCCATTGATTTTGACCCAGTGTACTTTTTTGATGATTTTTTTCTAAGTGAAAAGAGAGAGACTGAATAGTCAAAGTAGTGATGACAAAGATAATTGTGGAAGCAGTGGTTTGGGAAAGGTGACTTTGGTAGGGACTTCCCTACCAAAGCAAAAGCGTCCAATTTGCAGATCCTATTTCAATATCTGCTGTGCACACACCCTGTCTTATTCCTGACTGAAAAACAACTGCAGTTTAGTTCATCTTTTAACATTCAGAAGAAATGAAGGTTGTTGTTTTTTTCTTGTGTTTCTTTCCTTATCTATTTTAAGATTTAAAACGTTAAGTCTAGGGCCGGCCGAGTGGCGCATTGGTTAAGAGCTGGCTTGGGATGCCAGAGGGCCCCAGTTCGGATCCCACATATGAGGGCCAGTGACACTGCCCTCTACAGCTAAGATGCTGAACAACAGCTCAACCTGGGGCTGGGCTGCCGGGAGGCGACTGTGTAGGCTGCAACCCCTGCTGCAGTGGGTTGCCATGGGCTACCATGTGTAGCCAGCAGCCGCCATGAGCAGCCATCCAGAAGCCGGCAACTGATCTGCCTTGCCTGGGAAGAGCACAATGATGGTGCCAACTTGGGCCAGTGAAGCAATGTCCTCCACAACTAGACTGAAGAACAAAAGGACAGCAACTTGTCTGTTCCTCTTCCCCCAATTCCCCAGTGCTATTCCCATCCTCCAATTCCCCAATAAAAAAATAAATAAATAAATAAAACGCTAAATCTAGTAAGCTTAGATTTCAGTGGAAACTCCAGCTAAAGAATAAATGTGTCAGTTTTCAATGTTAAAGATGCAAATGCACTTGAAAATATAGATAATTTTTTTCTTCAAGGGATGTGTGGATATTGGCCTCTATATTGTACTTGTTAAGAAGAAAAGAGCTATTAGAGTCCTGTAATTAATGAGGGGATATGGGGAAGGCCAGAAGAGAGAATGGATTCCTCCAACCCTTTTTGTTCTCAATAGGAGAAATTATGTTGCAAGATGATTGTAAGTATTTTTTTCTTTATAGATATAGATATGTAGATATTGATATATATTATTGTTTATCATTAAATATTCCTTCCAAACTCTCACAAGAAATTTGAAAGCCAATTTAAAGAAGCTTTAATCTGTTGAAATAGACTCAATCAATTTTTAAGCTGATGTCTTCAGGTCAGCATTCTTAAAAATAATAAACAACAAAGGTACATAAACATTTATAATGTTGATTCCAAATTAATACCATTGCCTGATTGCTCAGTTCTCTACACTTCTGCCTGACTATATTATACTGTTACAAATAAGCAATGTAGGAATTGCTCATGTGTTTTTCTTACATGGAAATGACATTAGGACATTAAATCAATACATACATGAAGTTCTTAGCTTTTTAAAATGTGAAAGCAGATTCTGTAATTGGGAACTAATTGGATGTTCTGAACATCTATCTGTGTGCCCATTTGCCTTAACATTAAAAGAAACAGATGAATTGCTGTTTCTGGAAATTCCTGAGGACATAAAGGTCAAGGTCCATAAAATATATCACCATAATACATTGTTTTTCTTGATTTATAGTAACCTACTAAGTATTAAAATCCTCTTGATGGTAATTTCTATGTATATGCATGTGTGTACACACACTTGTCCTAAACCCTTGGTAGCCCATATATTACAGGCATTATCCAAAACACTGAAAAAGAAGTCATATAATATGTCAAGCCTTATTTTGACATATGTTTACTTGGTCATTTGGTAGACTTACCTTAATCTATTAAGTTTATATGAATTATTTTCAGGTAGGTAATGTTTTGCATCCTACTCCTAACCCTGTAGAGACTATTCACATTGATCATCTGAATGCACTTCAATATGAACTTACTTTTAAAAGAAATAACTATATATCGTAATTATATAGCTATACTCATTCTAGTATTCCAGGGCTCTATGAAAAAGCTGCATAAAATTTTGGATATATAAAATCTTAAATTTCCTATTGACATACAGAAATATTATCAACTAACATTTTGTGTCATAAGGTAGGATTATTTTTCTGATTTGTCAGGAGAGTCTAATAAGAGAGCCACTGATATACAGACACCCTAGGTAAGTGCAATGTTGTGATTAAGTAGACAAATTTTTATAAGCTTAACTCTGCTGACTATAGCGGATATTTCAAACACAAGATGTACAATATTAGAAAAATGGTCCTATTAATGTTTGTTATTCACATAGGTGTTTGCAAATCTAGATTGATTTGGTCAAGAGATTGGAACAGAGAGGGAAATAGTAACATGAACTCTTTCCAAGAATTACAAATAAAAACCCATTAGATGATTTACTATCAATTATGAGTTACACTTGATTAATTGAAAATTTTGTATCATTTTAATATATATCCTGGTAATGTCAATTACAAATTTAGTTGTTTGAAAACAGATTATACTTCATGGATATTAATGCTGAAAAAAAGAGTTAAACTCTACAGTGAACCTAACTACCTTGTAATATTGAGATTGAGCACCTGAGATTTTTAAATATACAAATATATATACACATGACAGCTAAAATTTCTGTAATAGTCTAAAACAATTTATTTCTAAGAGAACAATTAACGGGAGACTCCTCTATTTTTTTTTCTATTTATCAATCTGATCTTCGTAATACTGTTTGATTAAGATTGTAATACAGAAAAACTATTTCAATAATCTCTTTGAAATACTGCTTATAAGCCCCCTGGTCTGTGGTTTATTTCTTTTTCTCTTTAGAATGAAATAGTCGAACCCCATTCAGTTGCAAAATAATGAAATTTATATTCAAGAAATATTATTTAATTTAAACAGAAGGAAAAGCTTCCCCCCCCCCCCACTTAGAGAATCACAGTTACTTTAAACTGCAGAGTCATAAACTGGGATTGATTATGCTCTCTACTTATCAAGGTTTACATTTACAAATGTCATTAACAAACATTTTTCAGTAATAAGCCTATCTTTATAACAGTAGTTTGTTTTCTTTCTTCAAGAATTCAGAACTCTCCGGAAAAATCATATTTTATTTAAACTTGGCATTAAAAAGGCTACTGCTTGGAAATTTATGGCATGACTTTTCATTTATACCTTATGTTTATCTTGTTATTTCTAATCTCTGACTACTTCAGTAATACATGTACTAAGCCAGTATCTTGAAAATCCTAAAGGGAAAATGTGAATCAACTTAACTTAAAATGAACACTATAATGGATACCACTTTCTTCCTTTCTTCATATACTGCCGACTAACAAGTATTGAATGTTCCATGCGAGCTAGTCACCATGCTAGCTAGCTACAGTATATGATTTACCTCTGTAAATCCTCACAACAACCCTATTAAGTAAGGACAGCTTTTGCTCCCTTTAATTTGTGAATAAACTAAAGCTTTAAAAGCCTTGCCCATGCATACCATAATAATATATGTCAGAACTTAAGTCTGAACCGAAACTGTTGAACTCCAATCCCTCACTTCAGCCAATAAACTGCACCTCTTTCTTTAAGTGGTGACCAAGAGAATGTCAGTCATCAAAATGGATTCATTCGGTATGAGTGAAAGAGGCATTGAGGTCATTCCATATCTTTTTTAACAATATTCGTGATTGTGTTTAAAAGATACAGACCGGCATCAAGTTTGGCACATTTTAGGTTTTCTTAGGAAATCACTATGTATAATCCCATTTACTGAAACTATCCCTGGTCATTCTGTGGCAAATCGCCACAATTTAATTCATTTCCATGGCTTGGCTTGAACTTGGCATTAGATACACCTTACACCGCAGCAGTAGCCTGACACAACTCTGAGCTGACATTCCTAGGGAGGAGTGAGGTAGGAGAGGCGTGCTCTGACTAGCCGAATCCTTTAACTCCACTGCATAGTTCCCTGTGCTCCACTATACAACGAACGTGGTTTGTATACACTATAGGGAGATGGTTCTCCTGTGCATTCCCATCCCCCTCCACCTGAAGCCGTAGGTTTTTGCATGTTTGTTCAATTAGGAAGAATGTGGGTGGGTGTATATAATAATAGTATCTTCCATTTCTAAGTCATTTTATGCTTTGGTAATATTCCAGGTAAGAGAATTTGTGTCTAAAGAAGGAAAGATCCTAAAAGTTTTTCTGGGAAGGTGCTGACATAGTATAATACTTACCACTACTTACCTAGTACTTTCCAGTATTGACCTAGAAAGTACTAAAATATCTAGGATAATTTGTCAGCAAAATTTGTGAGAGAATTTGTGTAAAATGAAAGATTCTGGTGTATTTTGTTTCTGTACAATTCCAAGTGAAAGTTCAAAATCTTGAAATATATATATATATATATATATATATATATATATATATATATATATATATATATAATCTCAATGAGGTTTGGCCCAGATTCAAAATTCACCTAATTTTTTTTTTAAGTTCTAATTCATAGGAATGTCCTCACTGCTAAGTCATTTGGAAAATAATGTGATTCTCAATTCACAAATCCTTAAATCAACACCTTCACTAGCTTGCTGGATCTCAAAACTTTCTAGAAATCCTGTTCCTTCTCATTTTCAGGAATTTTCCCAAACATACCCCTTGTTACTTCTTTCCTTCTTTTTCCAATGCATTTTTTCTTCTCATCTCTCTTATAAACCACAGCCCAATTCTCTCTTTCCCTCTATTCTCCTCTCTTATTTAAGAGTGGAGGGAGAGAAGGCAAGCATTATTTACTAGAGGTCAACTATTAAGATCTTTACTTCTGTCACCTTAGCCTGATGGAACACATTGAGTTTGCATACATGAGCTGAAGGAGCAGAGTATAAATCCTGTAGACAAGGTATTTTGCACCAGAGAAGTCCCTATGGCTAGTGAAATCTCCTGTGGGTTGGTAAGATATTTGCCAGGTTGTTTTCCACAGTTCTGTTCCAACAGCTTCCTATGCGGCATTCCTTTCCCCTTCCCCCAGTCCTGGAGAAAGATTTCATTCAGACTTCCTATTGAGCAGAGAGTCAATTTTTCATTGTAAGGTGATAAGAAGTAAAAAGAAATACTACACTGAGAGCACGAAGGGAAAAGAATGTTTATTATAATTGCTCCCAGTAACCAGACATACCAGTCCCTCTGGTGGCTGAGCCAAATTATTTTAAGGCTTGGTCAGGACAGTTGTATTCGCAGGAATAAGGAAGAGGACTTAAAGGTGTGTGTGTTAATAGCAGTTAAGTCTTCCAACTGCAGTTGCAGGATGGGGGATATGAAATGTGTGTACATATATGAGAGGTGTGGGGGATGGGGTGGATGTCCTTCTCTTGTTTAATCAGCAGTGACAGAGAAGCACTTAATATGAGTATCCTTTTCCTCCTTCTGCCTATAAACTCCAAGCTATTTTATGGTTTAAAAAAATGAAATTTAATACGACACAAAGCAAAGAGACTGATTCCTAGTGTGATGATGAAATACAATCCTAATTTATTCAAGAAGGAAGTTGCCAAGGCACTTAAGGCTTGGCTGTTTTTTCTCACCTGAAAGTTTGGGTTTTCCAAAGAATATCCTGGGAATATCCTGGGGAACAGTTATTTTACTTGTAGTTATAAATAAGTATAAATAGACATTAGACATCCCTGTCTTCTAGCAGTGGCAACTACGTAAGTCTGCTAACCAATAGGCAAGAAGTATGTGGACTATATGTAGCTATGCATGTGTGCGCGCATGCGCACGCAGACGTGTTGCCTTAGAAATGAGTAATCTTCTCGAATGCCAGATTGCTGTAGCTCTTGTCCTTGGGATCATAGCCTGGAGCATGGGCCAGGCTTTCCCGCCTGAGACCATTCTGTAAGACAGATTCAGCTCCTTGTTTACAGGTACTGCCATTCTCAAGGTTTTCCTGAGGAAAATGGAAAGACATGTTTGTGAGACAGCCTCGATGTATTCTAAATCAAACTGAGGGAATATTCGTTGGCCTACCCCTTTGAAAAAATAATACATAAATATGAAAGCAACACAAACAACTCGGACCCAAGGCACTTCTTAATAACGTTGATGCTTCAATCTATGTAGGTACTATATTAATGACAATAAAACCAGAACAATTTAGTGAGCATTTACAACATATCTTGTGTGAAGAAATGTTAATTTCTCATTCACTACAGCAAACCTGTGACATAGTAATATGACACAGTAGTACATCTCCTCCTGAGGAGAGACAATCTGTGTCTCAGGTGGTGGTGGCCCCTTCTTTGCTGTGAGCAAGGCCTCTTGATCATAAGAGGGGTACCTGTGTGCAGGTGCCCCTGGAGGCTGCTCAATGATAGTCTTTGGAAAAGGAGCCCAACAGTGACATGCTAAGTGTTCTGCCTGACTCTCAACTCAGCTTTGAGAACAACAGCTGCCTGTATCAACAAGTTTAATCATTTATTTCAGGAAATTCTTGGCCAAGAACATAAGTCTGCAAACCAGTAAATAACTTGATTCTTTCGTTCTAGCACATCCTCAAAATCCATTTATCCAAACAATACACTGCTCAAACAGCTGCCTTCTCGGCAAAATACATTTCCTTCCCATTCTGAGCTCCTGTCAAGATGGTGCTCTCCTTACTGAAGTAACTATTAAACCAGTTTTACTGGATGTACGTGTAACTATGGAGTTTTGGGAAGGAGAGCAATTGACAACTTAGGCCGTGTGTTACGGGTGAGGGGTCCCTCTCCTAGAGTACTAAAAGAATGAAATGTCTGGGACTTAAAAAATGATAATAAGCCCTAACTGAAAAATAAAAACACATGCCTGCCCTTAGGATGAGAGGACAGACACAGATAAGACCAACTGCAACTATAATGGGAAACATTGCTTTTCCCAATGTCCTGCAGTTGTCAAATACCATAATAACTTGAGTGATTAGTGTTTTTTGTTTTGTTTTTTTTTGTTTTTTGGGTGTGTTTTTTTGCCAACCCTGCCCCTAGACAGCTTTATCTTTATTCCCACTTCTCTGAGACCCCTCTCTGAATCCTTCAGCAGGAACCCAAACCCAAAACACATGTCCACTTTCCCTCTTGTTGAGGCTGGCATTCCCTGGTTCCCTGTAGTACCCCCACCCATTGCTGCATCAAGCCAGTCAGTCCAGTTTGGCCTGACCACAGGCTCTTCCTGGTGGGCTCTGGCTGATGAGATCTTAATAGCACTTGGACAGTGTCTCCAGCCCTGCGTGGCCTACACACATTTCCCGGCAGGATTAGGAGAGCTGGGCATGGGAGGAGGGGTTATGTGCATCCTGCTGCTTGGCTAACTAAGAAGTTCCTTCAGTAAATCTTTTATATTTATGCCCCATGGAACTAGAGATGTTTGTGTCCAGGTCGTGCTGCATGGTCCCCCCAGCTCTCAGATAAAAGTAACTTACCCAAGGAAAGTGAGACAGGGACCCTAAACCCAGAGCTGACTCTCAAGCCCATGCTTTTCACCATTATACTAGACTGGGCCCCTATTGCATTCCTTCCCTGTAATTTATTTCATGTTTTTCTTAGAATTTGCCCTAACGAGTTAAAAGGAATTTTGGAAATTGATCACTTGCAATGCCAACAATTCAGCCCAAAGGCACATTTACCTATCAAAATAATTACATGCTTAAAAGCTAATTAGCTGAGGTAACTGAAGTTGAAACCCAGATTCTCTCAGGTTCTAACAGTCACTGCCTTCCCTCCCCACACACATCCTTGCAGGTGGTTTAAATGGGCAAAAATAGAATCCCTTTGATCCAATGCATTTGATTTTCAGAAGCACAAACATCAGCTCACCTGCTCTGTCCCACGGTCATGTTGAACGCCACACCAGCACAGTGTTTTGTATTTCTTAGACCAAAAGCAAAATAAATTGCAAACTGGTCTAATTAGCATTGGTTGAATATCTTTGCCCCTTTGGTGACCTATTAATGAAAGAACAGATGGATTATGGATTAGGTGGTTGCACACTCGCGGGACTCCCTTTAAGGATTTAAGCACTGTTAACGTAAGAAGTAGGTCACTTCTTAGTATAAGCATAAAAACAGGTTAATAGGCTGAAACTGGTAACCTCTGAAAGAGGTGGGAGTTTTTAAACATCCACAAACTGTCAGGTCAGACAAGCTCACAGCTATAGAGTTAAACAGATAAAGACAACATATTTTACTTTTAAATAATTATTACGGAAAACTCTGCTAGTACCCTTTGTAGGCCAACAGAAGGGATCACAGAAATTATATAATTTCTTCCTTTACCAAAGCTCTCAGTTGTCAATCAAATCAGATATATTAGAGGGCATCAGAGTCATTATATTTGTAAAATTAGAAAGATTATTTTTGCTGTTTCTTCTTTCTTCTACCTCAGCATTGGGAACAAGCAATGCCCTCGTGTTCTCTCCAGTTACTAGACTTTCCTGATGCTTCCTGCTCTAATCATTAAAACATCGCTGTTCAATATCCCGTTCCATCAAATCCTGCTACAGAACAGGAACCTCCAGCCAGAAAAGCCTAAAATATTGACTGTCTAGCCCTTAACATGGAATGTTTCCTGACCTCTGTGTATAAAACTTGATTTATGAAAATAAGTAGCAGGACAGATTTGCCCTTAGTTTCATGACCCCTGACCTAAGAGGTAAACATAAGGAATTAAGAACTAAAGGTTTCATATCTGAGACATGCAGCCATATGATAAATGAGGAATAAAAATTGGCAAGATTCAGATGAGTACAAACTGCTCCCCACTGAAAAATAGAAGAGCGTAAATCTGCAGGCTGTATTCTCATAGTGGGGTATTCTGGCCATTTGATAAACCAACAAGGATATATGTTCTTGATTTAGAAAATGCTATTTTTATTTTTGCATGATTAAAGGGATAAAACAAAATAACTTTTAGCTGCCCAGTAGCATTTTACCAGTAATACCCAAGACTTTGGAGTGTATCTTGAGCCAAGATCACCACTTAGCAGCTGATACAGAGAACGATTAATGATATAAACTGTCTGAAGGTACCGATCCACATAAACACAATGCTGTTCATCAATATGTATGAGTAACATGAAGAGCATATGTCTGAAAGGCTATCTGGAAGAAGCAGAATTGAGATTATCACCTAATAAGACCAAGCATGACAAACAACAAGATCAAGATAAAATATGACACAAGATGAGCAGGCCCACAAATGGCCTCTGGTCTTCCACAGTGACCCTGTCCTACATTAAACATTTTAAGACATTTTTAAAAGATTCGCTGACTATTAGAGAAGGCTTGTGATGTTCCCTTAGTAACCAGACCTGGAGGTATCAAGTGAGCACTAGGGCCTCATTTGGAAGATAGGCTTCATGAGGCAAGAACATCCGGTGCTGAGGATGAATACTTTTGCCAAAAATTTGATGGACTGGCATAATTACACTCTGATAAAATGCTCCATTTTGGTCTTAAGGATATTTTATTAAGATTTGGGACATTTGTGGGAAAACAAAACATAAGGATTGATACCAGGACAGTTCATGATCAAGATGGCAAAGAATTTTAGAATGTACCGTAAGTGCTGCTACATCAACACGAGAACATGTCGATTTCAATGTGCTTCTGGAAAATAACTAGACTGGCAAGGGCACAGCGTTCAGTGTATACACATTTCCTGCCTTGGAACCATGCTGCTAAAACTTCAGCTGTCTTCTAAAGGGGACTGACCACTTGACTGATAAGCCTAGGTGTATCCCACTAGCATCAGGGAAGCCTCCACAGTTGATGGGGAACTGAGGCAAAATCTAAACATAGTACGTAAACAACCTTTCATCTCTGTCTATTTACTTAAAGATATTAGGGAGTTGTTACTACATGAACGGGTGAGATTACAAAATTTAGAATCTATCCCTATCACAGCCAAGAGTGGCTTAAATTTAAGTGAATAGCTGGTGATATCTTGCCCAGAGTAATAAGTAACTGGAGCTCCCACATAGCATTTCTAGTACACAGTCACCAGAGTTATGTTTTGAAGAGGAATCTTGACTTCCCATGGTCTAAAGATATCCATTGGTAGTGGAAAAATAGAATATCTTAATAAGTTATTCAGCTAAAATACATACTCCGAGGAAGCAGAGTAGCAAAATTACAGTGGGCCTATTTCACCCCATCCTCCATCACCAGTCCCTCATGGGCTTTGGCATGAAAAGGACATTGAACCGCAGAGGTACCATAACTCGAAGTACAGGTAGTAAATACTGCTGACAAAAATAGCTGACAGTGAAAATGCTCCCTGTAGAGGGTGCCTGACCCTAGAGGTGTGGCATTTAAAGGCCGATATATGCAAAAGCAACAGTAAGACTCCACTGTGTAGATAGCAGATTAGTAAAAGCTAACCCTTGACCCAAGACACAGGACACAGGAAGGTGGTCATGGGGAAAACTCATCTCTTACTGAGGTGAAGGGAAAAAAATCACTCCTAATGTTTAACCTTCCTTACTGATGGTTATATTACAAAGGATTTTTCATATCAGGCCTCTGGGGGCCATGTGTCAAAACATCATTTCTTTCATACTATATGGGGGGATGCTTTTGCGTGTCAATTTGGACAGAGTAGATATATCTCTCTGGGAAAAAGGGCTTTTTGTGGTACACCCAAAATCACCCTAGGAACACAGCCCAGTAATAGTCCACCAGTGAATGAGAATAACCCATGACTTCCTTGGCCCCAAAGAGAGGAGTCCATGAATCCAACCTGTTATGAAGCTGATGATTATTCCAGCAGCAATGCATCCTAAGCAGCCCACTGCACTGTAGTAAAGGTAGGAGAGTGAATACCAGGTGTCAGCGATTGCAGGTCTGTGGAGGACAACAGCACATGTCACCAGTTCTGTGGGTTCTGAAGCTATGATTCATAATGACTTAGAGAACTGCTGAGGATTCATCTTAGGGCCTGGCATCTCTCAAACCCCAAAGCTTAACTTTTGACTGTTTGATTATTATTTGAAGAATCAAAGGTAGACTAATTGATTATTATTTGAAGAATCAAAGGTAGACTAATTGTGCCTTGTATTCCACTCTATCCACTCCATCTCCAAATTACAAATATTGCTACTCAATTACAATTGCAATGAGGACATGTCTTCCATTTCTTCTATATTATTTATTCTTCAGACATTTGTTAAGCCCAGATGTTGTGCCAGAAACTGTGAAAGACACTGGAGATTAAAAAACAAGCCACAAAGTCTACAAATAGGAGCTAACAATTATAAAATGGAGAAGTAATAACTTGGTGTAATAGGAACAAAGGATTCTACGAGTACTAGGAAGGGTATCAAACCCAGGCTGATGTGTGAGATGATAGCTCATTAAAAAAAAAAAAAGGTTAGTAGTTAATGAATCAATGAAGGTAGTCACAGCCAGGATTAAATACTCCTGACTATGCATATAGAGGATACTATATGCTTAGGAAGGAAGAAACAACATGATAGACCTGGGAACTATAAATAGCTCGATAGTGTTTGTCCATAAGATTTGTGGTAAGGAATAACTCTAAACTAAATGAAACTCAGAGACAAATGGAAGCAAGATAATGGAGTGCTCACATATGGCATGGAAAGGATTACCTACTCAGGAGCACAATTAAATGCGAGAATGCACATTTATTAAAGTCAGGTACAGTGTTCCTGGAGATAGATAGATAGATAGATAGATAGATAGATAGATAGATAGATAGATAGATAGATGATAGATAGATAGATGATAGATAGATAGATAGATAGATATCTTATCTCACTTAATCCTCTCAAAATCCAGTAAAGTAATTATTACCTTCATTTTTCAGCCAAAGACTATGAGAATTCAAGAAGTGACAAATTACCAACTTGTGCAAAGATTCAGCATGGATAAATGGTAAAACCAAAATCCAAACCCAGGTATTTCAATTCCAAAGTTGATGGTCTTGTCCTACACCATGTTATCTCCTGCATTTTGGTATCATGAATCACTTATCCCAGCCAGAAATGGTAAGGAAAACCCTTTGCTCAACCCTGTATAGTGTGAGTTAGAAGCTAACTTCGCAGCAGTGTTCCTTTCTCACTATATCCCCAGTCATTCTCCACAACGCTCACAAACCTTTTGTACTCAGAGCCTTTATTCTGTTAAGGGCACTATGATCTTCATATCCACCCACCTATTTTCAAACTTTTCTCACTTTTTTTCTGTATTGCATGCAAACCTCCAACTAATCTTTTGCCCCATTTACTCTTGCACGCCAGAACACAGAGGAATAACCAGTTATCTGCAGAAAACTGGAGCCCTTCAGAGCACTTGGCCAAAGGGATTCTCACAAGAAAGCAAGGTCTGTCTTATCGCTGAAGAAGGTGCCTCCCTCTAACCTGGTGACCCCTCTCGGGGACACACCTCCATCTTTAGGATCAGCATACCTGCTGGGTAACACTGGAGACACTGACTCCGTCAAATTTGATGGGGGACACTGGTCTGTCAGTAAAGGCAGGGGCCATGTCTTGGAGTCCGGTGCAGGGTAAACGAAGGCCCCAATGGCCACCCAAAATGACAAGGTGATCCCAGTCAGAAGGCCTCCTAGTGCACCCTTTATGAAAGGGGAGAAGGAAAAAGTTAATGAGAGATTTGACAAAGCTGCTGAAAGAATAATGAAGTGAGGAGTATTGTGCCTCAGAGAGTCTGGCTTTCCACCCCAAACCTTAGCCACATGTTCTGGAAACAGCCCACTCAAACTGCCTTCCTTCCAACTTCCACAATACAGCTTTATTTAGAAATAATTTTACCTTAAATTTCATAGTGATCATTATATTTCTATTTCTACCAGGAATTTTTTGTTCTTCTTTTGGCGTCTTCCTCTTATCACTTTAAAAGCTGTTAAAACCTCAGTTCCCAGTAGCAGAATTTCAGAAGTTTGGGAAAACGTTAGATAACAGAGACAGTGTGGTTATGTTTCACTGATAGCTATTATAAGGTATAAGATGGAAATTCTACTTCTATATCCATTTCCAAGGATTCTGACAGAGCCCCTGACTCCCAAGTTTGGAGGGTTGAGTCTAAATACTAGAAAGTGTACTGACTAGTCCTGTCATTTCAGGGTTATATTTCTTCATAAACATTGAGGTCAATAAGTCACTTCTCCCACAGAGGAGACAGGACAGTCTAGCAGAGACCAGCACCACTGGAATAGAAAACCTGAAAGCTCCTGGTCTCTGCTGGATAGCTGAGCCTTCTCTGTGAGAGAAAACAGCTTGTTGATTTTTCTATTTATTCAGAATAAAGACTCCTCAATAACAGCACTAAAATGTTCATTTTTATTTGGGGGAAACTAAAGCAATGTATGTGATTTGAACACTGGTACCTTGGTGTAGACCAGGGGTCTGCAAACTTCTATTATAAACAGCCAGCTAATAAACATTTTAGGATTTGTGGGCCATCCAGGGGCTGTCACAACAAAACAGCCATAGACAATATGTAAACAAAGGAGGGTGGCTGTGTTCCAATAAAACTTTATGGGCACTGAACTGTGAGTTTTATATAATACTCGTGTCTCATGAAAATCCTGTTCTTCTTTTGATGTTTCTCCAATAACTTAAAATTGTCAAATCATTGGTAGCTTGTAAGCTATCCCCAAAACAGGAAGATGTGGTTAGAAGGGTGTAGTTTGCTCACTCCTGGCCTGCAAGTACATTTTAATAAGAGGTTCAACCCTTGCTGATTTAGAGGAGCTGCCTGGAGAGCCATGCTGAGAAGGATTCTCTGATTGCTTCCACATTCTGTGGAAAGGAAGCCAGGAGTGATTAATAGAATCAGCCATGGCCAATGACAAGAGGAGTAGTGACCCAGATTTGTAATATTTCCTATATTCTGCCCAGAATATCTATTTTAAGTTTTATTCTGTGGGCCCTTACTGTAGAGAAGACAATTTAAACCCTAAAGAATCAGCTCTGATGCTATGACATTTGGTATTTCATGACCACCTCTTACTTCCTGCTTCTAAAATGGCTTCACTAAAGGGAGAGATAGGAGAGCTCAGGTTTTGTTCTGTTCTATTATGGAAAGATGCCACTGTTTTTTTTCCCTGACAAAAACAAATAGCCTTTCCAATGAGACGGGAGAGCTGAGAGAGAGAAAGGCGTGGGATCCTTACCTTCCAGTTCACAAAAGGAAACACAATTCCCAAAGTGAACAAGCCCAGCATTGGTCCCCCACACATGCCATGGATGCTGAGCGCAGCCTGCAGAGAAAAGTAGATCAGAATCATGAATCCATGGCCCACCTGGGAGCACTTCTTTCTTGGACCTGGAATGAAATTCAGTCCTAGTCCTGACTGTACTACTCATCAATCATGTGTTTTCTGGAAATCATCACTCCCTTCTGGGCTCAATGATAAACATTGTGTAAAAAAATAAAAATACAGGGCCGGCCGAGTGGCGCGATGGTTAAGAACTCGCTTGGGATGCCAGAGGGCCCCGGTTCGGATCCCACATATGAGGGCCAGTGACACTGCCCTCTACAGCTAAGATGCTGAACAACAGCTCAACCTGGAGCTGGGCTGCCATGAGTCGCTGGCGACGGCGTAGGCTGCAGTCCCTGTGGCAGTGGGTTGCCATGGGCTACTGTATGTAGCCAGCAGCCAGCGTGAGCGGCCAGCAGCCAGCGTGAGCGGCCAGCAGCCGCAGTGAGCGGCCGTCCAGAAGCCGGCGACTGATCTGCCTCGCCCAGGAAGAGCGCAATGATGGTGCCAACTTGGGCCAGTGAAGCAACGTCCTCCACAACTAGATTGAAGAACAAAACGACAGCAACTTGTCTGTTCCCCTTCCCCCAATTCCCCAGCACTGTTCCCATCCCCCCAATTCCCCAATAAAAATCTTTAAAAAAAAAAAATACAAGCGTGTGGTGTGTGTGTGTGTGTGTGTGTGTGTTTGTGTGCGCGTGTGTGTGTGTCTGTGTGTACGTGTGTGTTTATGTGTGTGTGTACACACACACAGGTAATTTGGATTTGGTAGAAGTAGCTTTCCCTCAAACTAGAATCCATTGATTTGTTTGTATTTTCTGTCTTATCAAAAAGTAATTTTATAATCTACCAAATTAATATATCTTCAATATATATTTCACATCTTACACAGCTGATCAACTGTTCTAATCTAGTTTGAACAATTCTATTATTTTAATGATAATAATTGTCTATTTCCCCCCCTCTGCCATCCCACCCAGAGCACCTCAAGAAAGTTGAAGCATTAAGTTGAGGGATGGTGGGGAGACCACTGGACACTTATATCCCATATCCCATATTTGTGGCTCTATCTCCTTTGGAAATTAAGGGAATTTGACAAATGCATTTCCATATCTCTTAGCCTCTAAGCTATTGAGCCCAGTGAACTGGCAAGGGGCTTTCATTAAAATAATTTGCTGACAACCTATAGTCTTGTTCCATGGCCTTCCAAGAGTCTTGAATATGCACAGTCACACCGACGTACAGGCAAGTGAGCATGTGCATACACTCAATATGCTGCAATGCATGCTGCAATGCAGCCCTATTTAATTCCACTGGTGCAACTGTGTGGCTCTAGATCAAGTGACTGAAATTTGGATGCTCTAAAGGTGAGTGTGTGTGTGTGTGTTTGTCAGGTACCACCTAAATGCCAGATAGTAAAGATGAGCTACCCAGGCACTCCAAATAAATCACCTCATTTAATCCTTAGAATTACCCTGTTCAGTGGGTAACATTAACTGAATTCTATAGATGAGAAAATTGGACTGAAAGACAACACATTGAAAGTATAATTTCATCTAGAAAGTCGCAGAGGTGAGCTTTAAGAGTTTTAAGCCATTTTGGCTGGCTCTCTAAAAGCCACATTTTCTCTCCTATAAGTAGTGTTTAAAAAGAAAAAAATGAAGAGCACAAATCACAATAAGGGCCGCCTTTTTTTTGTTTGTTTGTTTGTTTAAGGGAAAAAGTCCTTGAAAAAGTTCATCACCGGTAGAATATTTGAATTCAAATTTTGACCCTTTCACACGTAATTATGACCTGTTGAGGCTTCTGTTACTAACTCAGAGTCATTCTACTTCAGAGAGCCTTCTTTTCCCTATAAAAAATAAAAAAGATAAGACCATGGGGCCTTCAAGTCCCCTCCACCTATAAGGTAAGTTCTTTTGTCCAGGAAGATGAGCTGCAAGGCATTTTTATGATTGTTTTTTCCAGGTTACTCTTTAGAGAAGTAAATGCCACAGACAAAGCTTTGACAAGATGGAGACAGATTAGATTAGAGTTGATGTTTTTCCCCAATGTAGGTACTGAATTTGCAAGAATATTCTTGACATTTCCTTTGCTGAATTGTAGCATTAATTCAGAGTTGCCTGGTTGCTGAATTTGAAAGCTAGTTTACTAGCTATCATGTGGGAGAATCAGTCAGTTAGGAAACGTGCTTATCTCCCCCTGTGCATGTGGAGGGGAATTAAAAATCTCTTGCAAAGTCATTAGCCAATATGATTCAGGAAAAACAGGTCTTACATGACAGAGAGAAAAAAAATATATATATCCAAGAGTTTCTAGATTTAAAAAATATATATAATTCTGAGAAAACAAAACTAAACTAATTTTTTTTTAGCTGAGCTATTCTGCCACCTGTTGGCAGCTCAGCAGCAGCTCAGCTTGGGCCGGGAATCGAACCAACAATGCTGTTGCTCACAACTTGCATTCTTGAGCAGGCTCTTAACCAACTGAGCCACTCGGCTGGCCCCAAAACTAATCTTAATTTTTATCTTTCTTTTTATTGTTGTTATTAGCTCTTTTCATTGGAGGAAGATTTAAAGCTCATCTAAGCTATTCTTGCAAGTAGAGGGCAATGGCTAAACCGAGTGTTCGGGAGTTGGGGTTTCCTTGCTGTGTCTTAGCTTTTTCATATGTCAAGTGGAGATCCCAATACCAGCTTCCTGTTTTGCTTTGTTTGTTTGTTTTGTTTTTTGGTGAGTATTCAATGTAGAATCCAAGAGAAAGCTCAGAATAGTGCCTGTGCAATCTGGAGCACATGGTAAGGTATCTACTGTTATTATTGTCTTATTATATTACTGTTATTACATACCCTATTAGTGAGCTTCCTGAGTCCTGAGGCATGTCACGTGATTGTTGGACTGTTTTGAGATCTCGAAGGTACTTTCTTAAATAGGGATAAGAATGTGCCTGACAGTAATCACAGCCCTTGGCAGAAGTAGCTGATAGTCATTAGGATAGTGGCCTAATGGGTAGAAAGGCCTTTCTCAAAGAGAGCTCTGCAAATCACTAGTTACCAGGGGATCTCTGCTGCTGTTTTCTGCCTTCTCTCCTTGTCTCCTTCCTCCCTCCGCATATGGTTCTGTGGTCACATATTTAAAGTGAAACAGGTTTCTCTACTGTAGCTCTTCCCAGAACCTCTGATACGTTAATGAGTGCTGTGGATTTCTGAGCGGGGGATGCCATGTGCAGCATGTCCCATAAAGTCTTTGACTTTTCTCTCTCCAAGCATGTCACAGGATGAAGCTCTCCAAAACACACTTTGTAAAATCCCAAACTAAAACATTGAAAAGGCCTTTGTTCAAGGAGCTGCAAGCCAGCTGCCCCCAGCACCACCCACAAACACACATCATGAGTATGGATTGGTTTTGTAAACATGAAATTAAACCCGAACACACCTATGGGACTTGGGTTCACTTTTTCCATGTAAAAGCTGAATATGAACACTGTTCCTTTAAATTCATTAAATGCAGCAAAGCTGTCTGGAAAACTAAATAGGGGAATTATAGCTGCCTCTCTGCATCTGTCTAATCAGATGTGTTCAGAGAAATGAGAGGGTCATCTTAGAGGCAAATGTGTCTCCTAGGAAACAAAAGATCAGAGTTTTCATTCCTTGCCGACCAGCACCTCCTGAAGTATATTAACTGCACACATTTTAAACCATCAAGAAAGCGGGCTCTGCGTACCTGCCTGGGAAAGAGCAAGAAGAGACAGAGCATCCCTCACAGCTCCGTCTTCACTGTAAGCGTTATGTTTTTCACCAGCCTCGGAGGAGCCCATCACACCTCATTAGCCAATCAGCTTAAACTGCAAATATCGCTGGTGGAAACAAGTTAGTGACTCAGGTGCTCACTAAATTGGAAATGCTGATCCCTCCTTAGTAAGTAGTATTTTAATAAAAGGGAGAATGTACTATAGGACAGGCAGCAGAGGCAACTTGGAAATGCAGTCTCTATGAGTGGGGGAAAATAAACCTTAAAAGATGCTGCTGAGGTCAAAAACGACAAACCTCGCCAACTTGCCAGTTCTGCTGTGCAGAGGGGTAGGTATCAAAGTGCCTCAAAATTGTAAAGAGAGTACCAAGCATCCATGATAAAACAGCAAGTTCATGGCTTATTGGAGAGGACACGGCTTCCTAGTCTCACAACTTCTCTTACAGAGACAAGTGAATTAGCATGTCACTTAACTCGCTCAGAGTAGTTCCCTGCACCTTAAAAGGGAAATACGGGAGGCTGTGGAAATAGTCATTAGAAGCAAGGACACTGCTCTGTGAACTACAATAGAATGCACTCCTTAACAGCCAGCGATTACTATTCCCTCGTGCTTATTCATTTCTTTGTTTAAGCAACATTTATTGAAAGCCTATGCCACACCGAGAAAATGTAAAGGATCTTCAAAGGATGCCAGGGAGATTGAAAGGAATAAAGTGGAACCTGAAGAGTCACTTATTTGATGTCGCTTTGTGATTCGGAGAGTTTGTGAAGGGAAGAGAGTTGGGCCACAAACCTCGCTCAGCCACTAACGAGCTGTGAGAACTCGGGCAGGGGATTTTCCCTCTTTTCTGTAATCATCTACAAAATGAAGGTGTTAAAACATTATGCCTGAGGCTCCTTCTAGGGCTGACATGTTATAGAACTGCGACTTGGACCTATGGGAGGCAGTTCAGCCTGGAAAATAGTAGATAACAGGTTGAGTCACAACATCCCAGCACCACCATTCTGTAATTATGTGACTTTGGGGCCATTACTTTGCCTCTCTACATTTCAGCTTCTTCATCTATAAAATTAGTACATTAATCATGCTACCTGTCAGAGAAGTGATGAAGATTAAATGAGGTAATACATTTAGGACTGTGCCTAGAACGTCAGTGTTCCATAAACGTCAATTGTTGTTATTGATTTTACTATTACAATTACCATTCCTACTTTTATTTCAGGATCTTAAATCCTCAGATCTGTTTTTTAACACAGTTTCTAATTGTATTACAGTGTACCTTGTCCCCGAGTGCCATTATTAGTTTTTAATAATTTCCCTTTCTGAAAATAATTTTGGTTGAAGTTTTTACATGTATGTTTAATGTGGACCTGGTGTCAGAGAGTGGCTTGGAGGAATAAGCAGAACATCAGAAAAGAAAATGGGTAAAAAGTTGCTATGAAATCAAATGTATCTTTTCCCTTTTTGATTACCTGCACGACGCTCCCCATGAGGGATGCAGCCACAGCCATGGAGGTACACATCACGCCAAAAAAGATACCTGAAAGGAGGAACACATGTTACCACCACCCAAGCTGGCTCTGAGGGGTTCATTTAGCTCCTGCCCAGGACGGCCTCTGAGACAAGCCTTATTGGGAGGGATGTCAGTGAGAACTGTCCTTCCCACTTAGGCATCACATGCCCCAAGAGGGGGATTTAGGGGATTTTTCTCCAGAGGACATGCTGCCCTCATCAGGCAGAATGAGCTGGAATCTAGCGTTGAGCAGTTTTCTCTCCAGGATTCAAGAAGGAAGCTGTCATGGGGAAGCAATAAAACTGTGGAAAGGGCACTGGCCTAGGCAAATCCAGACTAAATTACAGGGAACTCATTCCAGTTCGATCACTCACCAACATTCAACTGAAGAAGTTACCAAACTCTCCGGGATTCAGATAGTTTTTCACCTTGAAACTTGTAAGGTGTCTTTACATTTTGCCTCACAGGCTTTGCAAATCTGGGAAGTCTTTCTGGGCTTTTCCTTTAGTGCTTCACTTATCCCATCCTTACGGCCCTTAGCGTATTGTGTAATGAATTATTTGCTTCTATGTCTATGTTGGAGAATCATAAGGGCCATGAAGGTACCATGCTCTGAAGCATCTTGCACGGTGCAGCTCGCACCACAGGATCTCGCTGAATGAATCCGCTTATATGTCTTAGTCATCTTTTAAAGATGACACCTTTTTCTAAACCACCTTTTTAAAAAAATTATTTTTTAGCACATCTTTGTTTAAAAATCACCTTAACAGTACATTTAGTACCCACTATAACCCATTCACTAAATAAGAAGGGAAGAGAGAGAGAGAGACAGAGTTAGAGACATATAGACAGAGACACATTGATAGGACCAGAGAGAAAACGGCGCTGCTCATTGTTTTTGAAATTATCTCTCAGCTAAATATCTAGCTCAGTTCCCAATGTGACAATTAATTCACTTTTACTGAGTACTGGGTCAGGCACTTTACCAGATGCCAGTGCTGTAAGGTCAGAACTTGATTTCTGTCCCAAAAGTCTCTAGAAAGAGACATATAAATAAACATACCTATTTATCCAACAGTGCTTGGTAGATAGCAAGTACTATGTGTTTGCCATTCTTAGGATTATTAATGATGACTATTATTTTATTTCAAGGTTAGTGCATGATATTCATGATATTTATTACCAGGAACACACTCTTAAAATTCAGTCAGGCTAGCAACTTTTGATGCTGTATTTTCCAACTTCTTAATAAGATGCAAAAAATAAGGAAACTCCCAACAACACTAAAAACCAAGTCTGATCAATAAACACATTTCAGAATTCTAAAATTGTTTCCATTATCTTTAAAGATGATAGATTAGATGGCAGAAAATAGAGTTTGCCCTGATTCTTTATTGCTTTGTGAATAAGGAAATTTCTTCCCAAAGAAATTAACAAAAGACGTTTTCTCTCTACTAACGATTACCCTCTTGCTGGGCCAATAGTTTTCTTGTTCAAGTGAGATTCCAGGAAGCCATTTCTCAATCCAGGGGTTCTACTTTTTTGTGCTGACTAGAGAATTGATTCAGTCCCTCTCTCCTTCCCCAAATCTTTATACTTCCACCAGATTTCAAGGCAGGAAGTTTAAGGGAAATGGTGGGGGTTCCATGAAAACCTGGAGTGCATGGACCCACAGACAAAGCAGTAAATGTGGGAGGGAAGCAAAGTTCCACAGTCGCAGCAAATGCTGTGGATTTTCCCAGCACTACATCAACACAGAGGATCAGACAATAAGCCATGGACATAAGAGAAACTTCTACCTCAATCCAGCATATTTATGAATATTTGCTAGAAATTGGGAATTGTACTAGAAGTAATACACATCCACCTACTATTAGCTCTACTTCCTTATGCAAAGTAAAAAAATACAATCCAGGCAATTCAACTACCGCGTTAAAAAAAACATGTGGCCAGTCACTCTCACCTTGGTTAAGCATAAGTAAAAAGGAAAAAAAATGAAATGTATGGTAAAATGTTGTCAAACAAGGGAGTAAGTACATTAACCTAAACATCCAAATAAAGAGTAGGCTTTTTGGAAATAATTTACCTTAGGAACCATAAAAAAAGTATTTAAAAACTGTTTGGCAACCTCAATGTAATGTAAAAATACGTGGACTCAATGAAACAAACAAGTACAAGGATCAATTGTTCTCTGAGGTGAGGTTACTGAGAGTTTGGTAATAAAGGATTCTTTAGAAAGAATTAGACAGAGTGACTGGTGATATTGATCAGAACATCTTCCTATGCAGAGGAACAAATATGATACATACACGGCATAATCAACGTTGGTGTGATGAACCTAGAACAGCGGTTCTCAACCTGTGGGTCGCGACCCCTTTGGGGGTCGAACGACCCTTTCACAGGGGTCGCCTAAGACCATCGGAAAACAAAAGGATATTTACATTACGATTCATAAAATAGCAAAATTACAGTTATAGAGGAGCAACGAAAATAATTTTATGGTTGGGGGTCATCACAACATGAGGAACTGTATTAAGGGGTTGCGGCATTAGGAAGGTTGAGAACTGCTGATCTAGAATGTAGGGTAAGCACAAAAGAGTGTCAAAAATCAGGTTGGTGGAAGTTAAGCTAGCTGGTCGTTCTTTCCCGGTGCCCTCCTGGTATCTTTGCAAGTGTTAAAATCTATATGTGGGATTCCTCATGTATCTCAGTGTGCATTTGTGCCTATAAGTGTGTCCTGAACAGCACGTGCAGGATTTTGACATGTACCACATGTACATTTCATGATATGGAATAGAAAATCCACAGGCTATACCTACATAAGCCTTTACTGATCCAGGTGCTCGTCTTGTCGGAGAGATGGGGAAAACAGCTCTTGACAAAATCCTCAAAGGTCACTGTTGCTAAGGCATTGATGCTGGCAGCCACGGTGCTACAGGGAGAGAAAAGTGAGAACATAGTCCAAACTAAATAAAGCTACACTACCAGCATGCCCTGTTTTCCAGGGCAAATGGACAAGGCAAGGATCTAGGAAAAACAGGCAGACATATGTCCTTATTTTGGGACTCCAGGAGAACTGCAGGGCCTGTCAGCTCGGTCTTCGAAGCTGCTTCTGTGCTTAACGCTGTTTCAATTCTTCCACAAACTCCACTGAAGAAGCTAGGCTTTCACAAGATGTTAAGTGAGTTAGCAGGCAGTAGCGGAGAGAGTGAGTGTGTGTATGTGCATGTGTGTGTGTGTGAATGTGTGTGTGTGTGCGCACATACACGTGCAAGTATAGGTGTATGTGCGTGGGGGTTAGGTTGGACTTGAAGAAAGAAGTAATAGCTATCCTAACCCTGGTGTCAGTACACTTTGCCATTCATTAATAATTAATTAATTCATTAATACTGTTCATGCATCTGTTTATTCATTCTGGGTACTAGGCATACAATGGTGAACAGAAAGACAAATATCTTCTACTCCACTAGGTGACAGGGACATTTGAAAACCAATTATGTAATTGATAACTATTGTAAAAATTGTTATGAAGGAAAACAACAAAGTGATATGAGAGTACATCTTGCAGAGACCTAAACCAATTATGATGCTAGGAGACTCTTCTCTTAGGAAGTGATAGTTAAGATAGAAACTGAAAGGACTCATGCAAATAGCAGAAAAGATGTTCTAGAACAAAGGAAAATTACATTTAAATGCCTCAAGATGGACAGCTTATTGTATTCAATAACCAGAATCCGCCAAAGTAGCTAGAATGCAGTTAGTAAGTGAGAAAGGAGTAAAAGATAAGACTGGGAAGGAAGCAAAGACCAAAACTCATGAAAGCTCTGATGTTCTTTCTCTGACTTTCCAATCAGAGTTCAGTCTTATGGCCCTAAAACTTACTTAGGTGACAAGAGGACTTGAAAGTTGGGGTTTTATTTGCAGAATAGCATGAAAGCTTGTTTAATTCCTTATATAGACCAGGAATATTTCAGTTAGCAAAATGGATAACTATGTTAAATTCATGTGATACAAAATCTCAACCACAAACAGAAGTTCTAGAAAAGAACAAGATGACGAACAAAGCCTAGCTAGCTTTGTAACTTTTCCATTATTCATTAGTTAATGATTTTGTTATTTTCCAATGCAAATCGGAAGACACACTATAACTGTGCCAAAGGCATGAAAGAAAATTCAAACTTTTTCTTTTTCTGTAATGCAGGATAATAATACCATTGATTTTAGCTGCAGGTTGTTACTTCAGTTGGAACAGTTCCAGGTCCACTGTAGGCAAAAGTTTAAAAGTTTCTTCCCTAAATGACAGATATAGCAAGTACAAACTTCCCATGACCCGTTTCTGGAAATTGAAACTCTAAGTACTTTGGGGTACCACTGTCCTTTTCCTGAGAATCAAGGCCTGGTGTATGTTCCTTGTAAAGCTCCTCTTCGATCTGCAGCTCCATGAAAGTCAAATAAGGAAAGCAGATGATCAAATAAAAGGAACTCCCATGCCCCCAACATATATGTATCAAAATCCATCATGTGAGGGTTTCAAACATTAGGGCTAACCCTTGAATCCACTGGGAAGGAGGGAACAAAACGCTGAATTAGGCCCACAGGGATCAGGTTTGTAGAACTGCTGGGTTGCTTTTGTAGCTGGGTGTATTATCCATATGTCAGTGTTTCAAATTCTAAAACTGTTACTAGATGGTAGAAATCTTTGTTTTTTCCTATTCCTCAACCACCATCATTTTATTCTAACCCCACTCTTGTATTTTCCTTTCCCTAACCCAACACACTCTTTAACATCGTAACAGAAATCTCTCTATGCTATACCCTCTCCACGGTGTCCCTTTCTTGGAATTTTTGGAGTTGAAATCACGTGAGTGGACCATTCTACAATGGGAGATTTAATCTGTTCACAGCTATATTTCACCAGTGTGGAGACAGTCAGCCGTAGAGTGAGAGAAAAATAAATAAATAAAGCTCTGTAGAGAAGGACAAAGTGAAAGCTAGAGTGCCACTCCTACTTGTGTTTGATCCCCTAGTGCCCACTGTTTCTGTCCTTAGTTTCCTTGAGGTCCTAATACCGACACCACAGAACAATATCACTTTGTTTAATTGATGCAAAACCCTAAAAGAATATGAGTAAAAATATTTCAACAGCACACTAAATTAAAATTACACCATTAACAAGTTAAAGTCATTATATGAATTCAAAGATGTTGCTGTTTTGGAAATTGGTCAACACAGTGATACGTCAAACGTTCAAAATTTTAAAATTACCCATTTCAAAAATGCCAATGGGCCGGCCGAGTGGCGCGTCAGTTAAGAACTGGCTTGGGATGCCAGAGAGCCCTGGTTCGGATCCCACATATGAGGGCCAGTGACGCTGCCCTCTACAGCTAAGATGCTGAACAACAGCTCAATCTGGGGCTGGGCTGCCGGGAGGCGACTGCATAGGCTGCAGCCCCTGCTGCATTGGGTTGCCATGGGCTACCCTGTGTAACCAGAAGTCGCTGTAAGCAGCTGTCCAGAAGCCAGCGACTATCAGCCTCGCCCGGGAAGAGCACAATGATGGTGCCAGCTTGGGCCAGTGAAGCAACATCCTCCACAACTAGACTGAAGAACAAAACAACAGCAACTTGTCTGTTCCCCTCCCCCGATTCCCCAATAAAATCTAAAAAAAAAAAAAAAAAAAAGCTAAAATTTTACCGGAATTCAATGCTCTCCCTGATAAAAATATTTCCTAAAAGTAAAATAAATATATACATTTTATTACAATTTTATAAACTTTAAGTATTTAAAAATGTAAATACCTTTTGAATCAAAACTTGAAATCATGTTTAATAGTAAGATCCAAGAATAAGTCCTTTTAAAGTACATAGCAAAACAAAGGTTTATGCTATCCCTCAATTATTTATCCTGTTCTCAAAGCACAATTACATATGAGAATGAACATAGAAGTGTAACTATTAGAAGAGAAAAACACAAAAGTATTTGCAGATGTCATGATTTCAGTCTAATCAAATCCTAAAGAACTGAAAATAATTACGAAAAAAACCTAGATACCAAGGGAAATTCTGTAAAAGAAAAGCAATGAATAAGGACCAGCCTAACAGATATTAAATCACATTTTAAAACACAGTCACTAAAATTATTAGCATTGGCATAGCTATAGACAAATACATGAAAAGAAACATAAAAAAGAATCCATAAAAAGTTTCAAATGCATAAAAGAATGTGGGATGTACTAAAAATAGCTTTCCAAGTCAGTGGTGAAAAGATGACTTTATTACTAAAATAATAATAATAATAATGGAATGACTGGTAACTAACTTAAAAGGAAAATAAGGAAAAAATTCCTTATGTCACATGTATAGTCTAGATGATTTAATAATTTTAACATTTAATAAGACCATAAATATAGTAGAATGATGTCTGCATGATTATTTATAATCATGGAATGGAACAGTCTTTCTGAGAAAGATATTAACCCAGGAACCATAATGTAAAATAATTGATCAATATGAAATAAAATCTCCATATACTCAAAAAACACCATTAATAAAGCAAATATGTAAAAGGCAAGTGAGAAAAAATAAGACATATCTCAAACCTCCCTTGAGTTTTGAGGAAAACTCTCAAGAAAAAATTAACAAAATAAATTGTCATTTTACAAACAAACAAAAAAAATACAAGTGGCCAAGGAAAGTAGGGAAAAATAGCCAATCCTACTTATGATCAAGGGAATTCATATTTAAATTCGCGGCCATTTTTTAACTATGACTCTGGCAAGTTTAGCAGCTTCATAGTACCCAATATTAGTGGTAGTGTGGGGAAAGAGGCACTGTCATGTTTTCTTTTCAGTGTATAAAATGGAATAAATTTTTGGAGGTCAATTTAGCAGTGTCCACAAAAAGTTTAAATGAATATGTATTTTGACATAGTAATTCCAGTTCTTGGAATGTAGCCTACATATATCCTTGCACAATTGCACAAAGATGTACAATACAATGTGCTAAGGGCTGAATGAATAACTGTGGCCCACCAAAACTCACATGTTGAAGCCTAACTTCCAATGGATAGTATTTGGAGTTGGGGCTTTTGGGATGGGATTAGGTCATGAGGCTGGAGCCCTCATGAATGGGGTCAGTGACTTTATAAAAGAGACCCCAGCAGGCTCTGTCATCCCTGCTGCCATGTGAAAACACAGCAAGAAGACAGCCATGTCTGAACCAGAAAGTAGGTCCTCATCAGACACCAGTGCCTGGACCTTAGACTTCTTAGCGTTGAGAGATGTGAGAATATATTTCCATGGTTTATAAGCCACCCAGTCCACAGTATTCTGTTACAGCAGCTCAAATAGACTAAGACATAAGCATTGTTAGTTATGCCTTACGTTAAAGGACTGGTCAATTAAATTATAGCAGATCAAAAAAAATAAGGTAGGCCTACTGTTGTGGAAGGTTTCTAAATTACATTAGCTTAAAGAAATGAAACAGTATATACACCATGATCTCTTTTTGTATGTTAAAAGGTCTGTATGTTTACATGAGAAAAGACATTTTCTGATTTATTCACAAGAAATTAGTAAGAGTAGTTAATTCTGTGGGGTGAGAAAAGGGATTTGAGGAATAAGATATAATGTTTTTACTTTTATCCTCTGGTGCTGCTAGAATTTTGACCCTGGACATTTTCCTATGTTAAAATTGGCCTTTGACCAAAACTGTAATTGATTCTTTGCAAACTCAGCTCCAGGAAGGGAAATAAGGTTTTCCCGCCAGCGGAGTCTCTGATTCATAGAGGCCTGGGACTGGCTTAGAGGAAAGTAATGACGCTGTCTTAATATTTTAGTTCATTGCTCTCAACACTTTGCCCCTACCCTTCTCTAAGTCACTATCATCTCTCACCTAGATCAAGACAAATGTCTCCTAACGACTCCCTCACTTTCACCACTGAGGTTTTGTTATAGTCCCTTCCTTACATAGAAGGCTGAGCCTTCGCTTGTATGGCACCACTCACCCACTCCCTTGCTTCACACCTTCTCATGTCTTCCCATTTAATTGAAAACGCAAACTCTACAATTTCATCAAGTCTCTTCATGACCTGATGCCTGCACATCTCTTCAAACTCATGCCCATCCGTTTTCCTCCCAGTTCCTTATGCTTCTACTTTTCTCTTTGTTCCTAAAATCTCCCAGAGTTTCTCTCTTGGGGGCCTTGGAATTTGCTCTCCCCCTCCTCCTGCCTGTAAAGGTTCCCACCTGTGCTCTTCATGTAGTCGGCTTCTTTGCATCCTTGGGACCTCAACACAAATGTCACCTACTCAAAGAGGAGGTCCCTAAAGACCTTATTAAAAACAGAACCCACAGGCCTCACCAATCTCTAGGATATCACTCGGTTGTTTTCTTTATACTATTTGTCAGTATCAAATAATATCTTGTTTATTTTGTTTGCCTCTATATTATCCATCTTCCATGTCAATTAGAATGCAAACTCTATATGAGGGTAAAGGTATGTCAGTCTTGTTCTCTGCAGCACCCCCACTGCCACCAACTGTGCCTGGCATCATAGAAACCTTCTAAAATATTTGTCAGAATAAATGTATGAATAATCTTGTATTTAGGATAATGTCTACATGTGGGGTATGGAAGTTATCAGCTGCCTGAGAGTGCTACTGAAGACAGGAAGAATGAATTGCAAAGGGTGGATCTGCAGAGATACTGCATCTGAATGAGAAATGCCACCAGAGTGAGCTGCCTTGTGTGAAGGGGATATGAAATCGTGGGTGTAGCTGGCATCAGACAGGCTGAGGAAATAAACAGAGAGGTCTAATGTAGGGGCAGACCTAGGCTTACCTGCTGCCTCTGCAGTTTACGATGTCACCGTGCATAAGTTATCTACCTTGCTAAATTTACTTTTCTTATCTATAAACTGAAGATAATATGAGCAAAGTTTCAGTGGCATATATAGTGTGGCAACTAATGAGCACATAGAAACAAAGCATTCAACCAAGCAGCTGATGCACAGTAAGTGCTCAGTAAGTACTTAGTAAGTACTGACGATTACTGCACCACCACCCTTGTCATCCTTATTGTCATTACTGTTGTCATCACAGCAGCATTGTGTCAGTATACTAACCTCAGAGTTCCACTGAAGGCACAAGCCACGAAGAGGCCAGGCAGTCCAGGCATTGTGTCAAATATCTCCATGACAAAGTACGGCATCAGCTGCAGAGGAGGCAAAAGAGGATAAGGTTAGTGGTCTCATCAGCAGGGTCTGCAAGGTGGGAATATAGCTTTTTAGCAAAAGGAGGTGTGGAGGGAGAGAAAGAGAGAGAGAGAGAGAGACAGAGAGAGAGAGAGAGAGAGAGACAGAGAGACAGAGAGACAGAGAGAGAGAGAGAGAGAGAGAGAGAGAGAGAGAGAATAAATAAACAATAGAAGAGTTTGCATGGACTAAAGGTTGTTAGATGCTAGCAAATGAGGTTATGATGGATCCCATCCATGCACCTGAGGTCCAGCTGTAAGGCAGGAGGAAGGAAGGTAGGAAAGAGACAGTCGTATTAGGAAAAAAGATTGGACAAAGTTTAGAAGGTTTAGAAACGTTTAAAACTTTTGTTTTGTTTCCATGTATGCTATTGTCTTGCCTGTTTACCCTTAAAGTTAGCAATTAAACCCTGAAAACAAATGCTTAAAACAGATCTTCAGGGAATATAGGTGTTATGGTTCTAGTCTATAGTGACATTTGTGGGAAGGAAGCCCCCATAGGACAGAGTGAGACAGTAGAAAATATGGGGAAGTGAGGGGAGATGACTATTTGTCTTGAGCATATTCTCCATACATATTGGGTTGCAGAAAAGTTATGAAGTATTTTGTCTGTTTTTCAAAGGTCATTTATTTATATAAAGAACAAAGATCAATCAATGATATATTGCCCGTTTTGTTCAGTAACAATTTGCCATCTTTCAATGAGCTTCATAATTCCTCATTCATAGAAGGACCTGTCTTTACTTGCAAAAAACTGAGCAAGGTGCTGATTTACAGCCTCATCTGAATTGACTGTTATACCATGCGAGGAGTTTTGAAGAGAGAGAAACAAGTGGAAGTCTGATGGTGAAAAGTCAGGCGAGTATGGTGGGCGTAGCAACACATCCCATCCAAGCTCCAATCATTTTTGACAGGTGATCAAACTCGTGTGTGGTCTCGCGTTCTTGCGATAGAACACAACTCCTTTACAATTAACAAGCTCTAGACGTTTCTGGATGACAGATTCGTTCAAACTGTCCAATTGCCGACAGTACACATTTGAATTGACTGTTTGGTTCCTTGGTAGGAGCTCAAAAACACAACACCTTTAAAATCCCATCACACTGAGAGCATAACCTTCCTCTGGTGAATGTCTGCTTTCGATGTCGTTTGAGGTAAATCATCATGTCCGGACCAAGACCGTTTGCACACCACATTGTTGTAAACAATCCACTTCTCATCACCAGTTGTCAGTCGCTTCAAAAAAGGATCGTTTTCCTCCCATTTAATGAGCATATTGCAGATGTTTATATGCGCCATCAAACGAACTTCTTTGAGTTCATGCAGAACCCAAATATCGAGCTTGCTTACATATCCCAGCTTCTTCAGGTGGTCATGAACGATGGATGTTCAATGTTTCTGCAATCTCTCATGTTGTGTAATGTGGGTTTGGCTCGATGAATGCCTTTATTTTGTCGTCCATCAACCTCAGTGGGCCGCCCTGACCGAGGAGCATCGTTGAGATTAAAATCACCAGCACGGAATTTCGTGAACCATCTTTGGCACTGACATTCTTGTAGAGCATTGTCACCATAAACTTTATGAAACGTTTCACAAGCTTGATGTGCATTCTTCCCTTTATGGAAGTAAAACAGTAAAATATGGCAAAAATGCACAGTTTGGTCTTCCATCTTCGACTTGTTATAAAATCTCCAAAACTCAAACAAATGCTCAATTTTTTTCTTTTAGAATGAAGCTAGAACTGTCAGCTGTCAAATGACATGGCAATAACATAGATGCAAATGACTCTAGTACTTCCAAAAATGAACTAGTGCCATCTGTTGCAAACATGCATCATGACTTTTCCAACAACCCAATAGTTTTTAAGAGTATGCTTCATGTAATATAAGAGGGTGGTGTTGTTTAAGCTATGATGAGAAGACATGAGCAGAAGCATTGTAGAAATAAGGGTCATTTTATTCGATTTGAGGTGAAAGCATAATTAACCAACCTTGAGATGTATAAAAAAAGAGTTGAAAGGTACCACTGACAACCAAAACCATGGGTTCCAGCTTACCTTCCTCACTCCTCAGCCTTGCCCTAGCTCCAGGCCTTGTCTTCAATGATAAGGTGAGATACCTTCTTCTTTACATGTCACTCCCTCATAGTATAACTTAATATGTGGTGATATTACCCAAGAGGAGAGGAAAGAAATCAAGTCTTTGGGGTATGAAAAGTGGCTAGAGGGACAGGGGAAAAATAAAACTCCACATTACCCATCAATGGCCAGAAGCATGCTTATTTCAGCCATCCCTACAGGCCCCAAGGGAGAATGTACCTGGTCTGGTGCTGAGATAATGCCTGAAGTCCAAGGGTCACAGTCTCTGAAGTGGACATACATGATTAAGCCAGAGAAGACAGCACACACCAAAATGATCCAGAGACCCAACAAGTTGAAGTACAAGGCTCTAGAAAAGAACACACGAGTCTATTGATAGCCTCTATGCTGTATTACAGTATGGGAAGGTCATCACCGAAGGCTCAAGATAAAGTTTTTTTTTGACCTCTTGCTATAAAATAAAATTCTACAGGCTTCAAGAATCACTGCATTTTATACTTCTGCTTTTTTTTCGGGTTGGGGACATTATGTTCTTAGACCGACTTAGACCGATTCTTAGACGAAATTTGAAGGAGATAGATTTTTGATGGATTTTCTGTTGAAATTAGGAGTTTTTCTGCAAAGCCTCAATGTGTGGTATGAGATCTATTTTCTTAGATGAAATTTCACGTAACAGTCACTCATATAACTTCAAGTGATGTTCCCTCCACTCAATTCATGAAACTGTCAAAAAGCCAGCATCTTTTCTTTTAGAGTGATGAAGAGATAAATGTAGATATAGATGAATTTTGAAAATATTCACTTTGGAAATTAATTCAGATGAAATTTAAGTGTTTTTTTTTAAGATGATAAAAAGTATGAAAAGCCTAAAGTCATGTTTCCCATATTCTTTGGAGCAACTATTTTTGTTCTATTGTACAACACACAGATATGCTTAACTCCAATTTGAGTGTTTTTCCAGTATTCCAGGGTTTTGTATTCATTATTGTCCTTTGAAAGTCAACATGTTACTCATTTTCTTAATCTTGTGGAGGATTTGAAAGTAGATTGGCTTTACATCGGTCTGAGAGAATAAATAATCTTATTCTGGAGGTAGCTGCAGGGGGACCAAGAGAGCAACTGTGGGCATTTTCTTGGATTCAGTCATTGTTTCAAGGGAAACAGAAGCATCCATGTTCAACTATGAAGACACATATTCATTTCAAAGTCCCCTAAAACCCGTACTGTACAGGTGTATCTGACTTTCAAAAAAAACCTCAAATCAAAGTATTCATTTATAAAGCAAATATGTTAAATAAATATCCCATTTATAAGTTTTCATTTTACATGATTTACATTAGAAAAGGGTCTTATCTCAGAAGTTACTTCCCTGGGAGTGTTCTAACAATGCTTATCTTGAAGTTTCATTTGTTTGTTTTTGTTTGCAGGGGCTTGAATTAGAGATAGCCTTTTGGGAATACAACTGATACATAAAGTGATCAATTCCTATTCATTGCATTGGTTGTACTCTGGCTATCCTTCCATTCAAGCTTTTACTCAGACCTTTTCCTAGGGAGGCCTCTCTGAGCCTCTTTATCCGAAACAGCCACTTGCTCTTTCATCTCTTTCTACTCCTTATACTGCTTTACAACTTAAAGCATTTATCACTGCCTGACATTGTATAATGTATTCACTTATAATCTGTTTCCTCAACTCAAACACAGTGCACAGTGCTATGTGCCCAGAGCATACAATAGTGCTGGCACATAGCAGGCATAAGTTGTTCTATTTTTGGTAATAAATGATTGAATTGAGTGAATGGTAGAAATTCGTTACAATATGATCACAGGCTTTACATGATTTCTTTTTGGAAAAGAGCATTGAACCTAGAGTCAGAACACTTTATCCTTAACAACTACCTGACCTTAAACAAGTCACTAACACTGAACGACTTATACCATCTGTAAAACCAGTGTAACACACCTGCCTTACTTCTTACTGTAGAACTAATATGCGGATTGACTAAGGTACACTCTGTAAAAATATATGGAGGTTATACAGCCATATAGAGGACATTCATACATTATCCATAATAATTTAAAAACTTCACCAGTCAATATGGGAAATGAGAAATCAATGGCAAAATTATATATTGGGTTGTTGGAAAAGTCATGATGTATTTTTCTGTTTTTCATCGCAAAAATGCATCATGACTTTTCCGACAGCCCAATAGAATGTTAAAGTCCTCCTTGCATTATGAATTGATTTTTCATTAGAAGTCTACTTTAATCTTCCACAAAGTTAATTCACTTGTTTTTAATTTAAGCCATTTTATTGATTCATTCAGAAAATATGTATTAGGCATCCTTGTGTACCAGGCTCTTCTAAGTCCTTGGGATAGAGCTGTGAGTACACAGAACCCACTCTCCTGGAGGTGATATTCTGGGATTGGAGGCAGGTAATAATTGCTGAAATGACATAAATGAGATTATCTTAGCTGTGATAAGGCATATTTAAAAAATAAACAATGGGAATGGAAAATAAGTGACTATGTGTGGATGTGCTCATCTTAGCCAGGAAGCGGAGTGGTATTGGGAAGGGACCTGATAACCTGCGTCAGCTCCTCCTCCCTCCTTCATAGCACTTACTGGTATTTAATACAATGCATAGCATTTACTACCCCAGTCCTGAAAGATAAGCAGGGCTCTAGAAACAAAAGGAGTCCAAGTCAGCTTCCACAAAGCACATCTAAAAAAGACTTAGTAAGTGATATTATTCTTAGGTATCAGGAAGATCTGGCTTAAGATGACATTGTCTTTAGTGAGTAATTAGCATTCTGGCCAAGCAATTAAGTGCATGCATAATGTGTGTCCATGTACGTGCTTATGCACACACACATAGAAGCATGACCTTCTTAAGCATTACTTTGTTTAATAAGTGATAAGTAATAAGCACAAAGCATTGTTCTAATACATTGTTCTAATACATTGGGAAAATGGTGAAATAGATATATTTCCCAACTTTCAGGTATTATTGTAGTAACAGGGAGAAAATTAGGCATGTTCGCAAGAAAAAATATTCCACAAACACATAAGATTTTTAAAAGACTCGATTTAACAGAGAATTGTTATGTATTGCACCAGAAGTTTCTTTCCTTCACAGATATAGTCAATTCTAGTTTATTTTAAAGCAGGCTTTTAAGTGAGTTTTAATTTTATATGAATTTTAAGATCAAAGACACACTTGATTTTAAATGCATTTTCAGTAATTCACCTATTTGATAAAGTGATGTTCATGTGTGTGGAGGGTTTGTTAATATTATTTATTGTAGTAGACTATAAATATGTTATCGGTGAACTGACGGAATTCTAGGTAGTGATTTTACTCCTTCCTTCTGAGAGTGTGTGAAATATATAAAGTAATATATTCTCTTTCAGAATTCAAGTTACAAAATGGTAAACCATGTCCAGGCAATCATATCTCCTATGCAGTATAAATAAGAAACTGTACTGAAAGTATTTTAAAATCATTTGCGGAAATATTCATAGTGACTGTTTCTTACTCTAAGAAAAACTGACGGTATCCCAACAAGTCAGGGGAGGCTGAAACTTTGGACAGCAGCAATGAGGATGAAATGCCCATTTTACATGCAGTTCTAGTTTATTTCTACCGGTTTTGCAAAAGAGCGTATACTTTTCTTTGGTCCCCATTCTAGAGCTTCGGATGACTTGCTGGGCTTGGCAAAGGCTTGACAAGCTGTGTGCCTGCTGGAGTCCATCAGCGTAAGCAGCCTGGCAAGGCTATCCTGGCAAGAGCTGGAGCGGCTAAGGCTCCATTATGACCTGCTTCATGACCTTGGGATTGTTTATTTTTAAATCTGTCCTTGGAAATCTTAAAGGCAAATCCATCAAAAGAAAAACAGTAGTTGCAGAAACCACATGCTGAATCAAATGAGTGATAAGGGTCATCTCATCACAGAAACTGTGAGAAATATGTGTGGCTTGCCTCTGCATCGCTACCCACAGCACATAATTTAATCTAGTTATTTCTCCAAAAATGGAGGCAGCAAATGATGGAGAGCAAAGGCAGACTGACATAAGTTCAAACCTCAGCTCTACCACTGCATTGCTGAGATGAGAGTAGTAATTCCTGCCTCAAAATATTGTTGGGAAGGTAAATGAATCTTTCTGTTTTCTGTTTTTCTTACACACACACACACACACACACACACACACACACACACACACACACTCACACTAGGAAGCATATATAATAAGTACCCAATAAGGGCAGAGAAAACATACAAATGTCTCTTTATTAATAACTTACAGCTTGGCATGCTTTTCTGTTTTGCAAGAAATACATCGCTGGATGGTTGACTGATTAACTCCATAGATCCCGAGCCACGTAAAAGTTCCTCCCACTGAGATTGTCCAAAATGTGTGCCTCCTGAGAGGATCTACATCAAAGCTACAAGGCAGAGAGAAGTGAGTGAACAAAGATGCTCTTTTGGTGCCCAGATATAATGTTGGGTGATGAGGTCATGCAGCTAAATCTTTATACAACATGATAAAGTAGCATAGGACATACTCAAATATAGTCAGTCGAGATCCATTTCTTGATTGCTCTAATACATTGTGAAATCCACCAGCTTTAGCTGATCCTTGAATGAGAACCGTTAAGAAGCCCACAATCATGACAACCATCTGAAATGCATCTGTCCACACCACTGCTTTTAATCCTCCCTGAAATGGAGAGAATGGACGTTAGTTCTTAAAAATGAAGGCTGCAACTCTTCCAATTCTGCACCACCTACCTGCTAAATGTGATCTATATTTTTCCTCTCTCCCTCTCTCCCTTCCTCCTTTCCTCTCTTCCTCCTTCCCTCCCTCTCTTCCTACCTTCCCTTCCTTCCTTCCTTCCTTCCTTCCTTCCTTCCTTCCTTCCTTCCTTCCTGCCTTCCTTCCTGCCTTCCTTTCTTCCCTTCTTTCTTTTTTTTCAGCATTGTTGCTGAATATTTTGTATGTGCCAAGTATTATGTTAAGCATGCAATTAAATGGTAGATGAAAGAGACAGATTTCTTGCTTAATTTCAGAGTTTATAATCTAGAGGGAGAAGCAGATACTAGACAACAATATATTTACTTAAAATTGTGGAAAACTCTATTAAGAAGGACAGGGTACTATGGGAGCATATAGCAGGGGATCCTGACTTGGTCTTGAGAAAAGAGGCATTTGAGCTAAACTCAGAAGAATTCGTAGGGATTTAGCTGGGACAGAGGACAGAGAGGAAAGGGGAGCAGCATGTGTGAAGGAAGGAGAGGTGTGGCGGCCTGAAGAAATGAAGGAAGCTAGATTATACAGATAGCGTGCCTAAAGGGAGGTGTCTGAGTTTGCTAGGGGCCAGAACCGCACCGATTTTGACAAGGCTATGTAAATTATTTCTCAAGAGCAATAAAAGAGCTTTAGAGATATCTAATATGATGAAAGCTTTTATTTGTTTCACAGTGGTTTCAGCAGTGGTTGTGTGGACAATGGATTGCAAGGATCATAGAAGAAAAGGAGTTGAGAGAGCAGCTCAGAGTTTATTTCAGTCATTCACATGCAAAATGACAGCAGTTTGAGGTAGGGTGGAGATGGAAAGAGGTTGATGGATTTGAAAGATATTTGGGAAGTAAAACTTAACATAGTTTGTGATTAATTGAATACATGTGATGAGGAAGCGAGGGAACTGAGGATAATCACCCAGGTTTGGAATGGACACCTGGAGATTTCTTTTTGTAAATGTTGATGGTAAATAAATTTTGCAAAACTAAGGTGGGAGAATACTTCAAAAGAAGAAAAGAGCTAGGAAAGGATGATAGGGTCTAGATATCCATGGGAAAAAAGAGTTTTAAAAGCTGGAAGATGGTCACATAGTGAAGTGAGCAAAGCACAGTTTCAAAAGGATGGATCTAATAGAACATAGGACAGTGGGATTGGGCCAGAGGCTAGAACTATGGTTATTAAAGATGGCTCCCCTTTAGAGTCACTTGGGCAATTGGAAAACAAACAAACAAACAAACAAAACAATATCTGAGCCCTATCACCAGAGAGTCTGAGTAAATTGAGGTCTGGGGTCAGACCCAGTCACCAGCGTTTTGTGAAAGTTACACAAGTGATTCCAATGTACAGCTCTAGTGGAGAAGAAAAGAGGAAGGGAAGAGGCTGCTAGAATAATCCAGATATAGAATCCCTTGGGGCGATGGTGAGGGTGGAGTGAGGAAATTGACAAAGATTAAATGAAGAGATATATTTAAAAGTGCTTTGAAAATGAATAGCACTATGAGAATAAAAGGACATGGTATTTTTAACACAAATAATAGAATTATCTTCCTCAGTTACTCCTCCAGAGTGTCAAAAACTTCTGTGAAAAGATGACAGTCTTCATCTTTATCTTGAGAAGAAAGATGATATTGGGGTTGTCCCATCATTTTTTTTAAAATTAAAATCTAAATGCAATTTTTAAAAAAGACAATAAAGTTCCTGCTAGAGACACTTTATTTGTATATTCTGTTCAAATCCTGATTTGAAAATAACCTATATCTTACCTCCCACCTCACAAATGGTGGCATTTTTATTTCCTTTAAAGACATTAAGCCTTCCAAATATCAACATCATATTTTAGTAATATGAAGACTACATGTCAAAGACCTCAGTTTTCAGAGACCACTTCACATTAGTTATGCAAAAACAAGCATAAGCCTGAACTTCACCTAGACATGAGGCAAGAGAACAAACCACTTTATCAAATGTTCATTGAAAGACAGATTACAGCCACCATAAAAACTGCTCTGACTGTATGACTCCTTCATACAGTAAGACACACCCACACACACACCACTGATCTATAACCCTGATTGTGCCCTGAGTGCCACTTCAATATTTAATCAGTCTGTGTTGTTTGGAACCTAGTGCTTACTTCACTAGATTGCAAACCACTGGATGGCAGAAACCACTTCTTATTTGTTTTAACCTCTTCCACTGGTTATCTTAGATAGGCTGTGCATCCACAGGATTCTTGGTGTAAAAAGACTGTAGCACAAGCAAAAGTGTTAGATAAAAAGCCACCATTTTGGTGTGACATTGAAGCTTCTAACCTGGCTAGAGAGAGGAGAAATGGAACACAGGTGTGAGGGGAAGAGATTAGATGGGTGTATTTATTCACATAATGAAAGATTTCCAACACTAGGCTAAGAAGCTTATACTTCATCCTGTAAGCAATGGGAAGCAAAAAGAATTAAGTCAGTCAAGTGACATGACGAAAAATGGATGTTTTAAGGAGATGAATCTGACAGCGGCATGCAGGAGAGAGAAACACTGAAACCAATTAAGAGGTAGTAAATTTGGTTCATTTTAGCTTATTGTGATTATTAAAATATCCAGACTTATTTCTGACATCTAACTTTTTGGTTTCTATTTGTTCTACTTCCTCTAGGCTTTTTATCTCTTTTCCTTTCTTGCTTAAATGAGTTGAGGTTTTGTTTTGTTCTAATTCTATTTTCCTCTTTGACCATTTTATTTAAATGGGTTCCTTTGAAATTTTACCATGAAATTATAAATTTAGAGTCTAAATTTAAGTAAAGTCAATTGAAGAATTATAAAGTCTTTATGTCTGATTATTCTCTTCCCAATTTTACATTCTATTGTCCCATTAAGGGTTATTCCTTTTCTTAATCCCAAAATTATATAGAATAATAACAATTATTATTATATTTTATATTATAAATTGTCATATATAATATATAAGTCTATATTATATAAATTATACTATACTATAAATGTATTAATATTATTGTCACTAAGCACCCAACATTGTATTGACCAGACTTACTAAATGTTGATTATTTTATTATCTTATCATCACTCTTCCATCTAAAACTGGATAATATTTCTTTTTCCCACAGCACTTCCTCTAGGATTTTTTCAAGGGAAGATATATTAGTGGTAAATGATCTTGGTTCTCGACAGTCAGCTCCTGAAATATAGTTTTGCTGAATACACGATTATAGGTTGACAATTGTTTTATTTCAACACCTTGAGGATGTTATTCCGCTGTTTCTGGCTTCCATTGTTGTTGCTAAGACATCTGCCTTTAGGGTCCCCAGCAATACATCTAGTTATCATTCTATGGGCAGGTACCTCAGAGCAACTCATCTGACAGATAAGGCCAGATGCTTAAGGAGCAGGAGGCTATTTTTAGCTTAGGGAGGGGATGTGTGTCTGGCATAGAATGGTATGGTAGTGAGAATGGAATGGAAACAAATTAAGATAAAACTTTGTGGGGCAAACAAGTAGGGAAATTTCCAAGTATGAAGAAAGGAGTTAAGGATATTTTTAAGTTTCATATTATAATGACATATGTTAAAAGAGTATGTAGTATGCACATAATGCCAAAATACACATATGGTCTGCTACATGATAATATACCAAGTATTTTATTTTTCTCTACAGAGGAGAAAAGAGAATTCAACTATCTGGGAATCACTGCCATATTCTTAACTGGTTACTTACAGCCTCTGTCTATGGTGCCAATAACTCAGAAGAATAAAGCTTCCCATTGCAGAACATGGCAATTAATAGGAGCTCAGTGAATGTTTGTTGAACTAAACTAAATGTTACAAGTACACACATATGTTGCAAATACCACCCAGGTTCCTTGATTAAAAACTGAGCATGTGTAAATCCAAATGTTAAATGTAATCTAAACTTATCCATAAATAAGAGACAAAAGAGCAATCCGTGGAACACTCGGATTTATAGAATACCAGCCATCCTTGGTCACGCATACAGGCATTTTGTATTTTTCAACCAGTAGACAGTGGTTTATAGTCACTATTAATGAGCTTTTTTTTTTTTTTCCCTCAGAGGTTGCATTTGTTCACCTAATCCTCTGATCAAGGAGATAGTACTTTCATTAAATCTTCTCTTAGCCGTGACTTTCTCGAATGAGCTCAGAGCCTAAATTCCACTAATGGTTGATACTAAAAATAGTTTTAAATAAAACAACGGCACCTATCTCAGGAAGCTGTAACAGATAAGCCAGCATACTTTTATTTAATTTTGGAATAGCAATTTCTGCTATATTTAGACGCCTTGTTTTTGGAGATTTGCCCTTATCCCATATTAGGAGATAGTGCTAAATCCTTTTCACAGCTAGATACATACCAGAGTGCAGTAGAATGTGCAAACAATTCCTGTTGCAAACACAGAGCCCCAGAGATTGAACCCAGTCACTACAAAAAGAGAAAAGATTAAAAAAGTTTCTTCGAGGAAAATAAAAGAGCAAGCTTTATAAGGGAAGTCACAATATTTTTATCAGTGTTCTTTGTGGGCAAATTAAAGTCAAATTAGAGTTTTCTCATTAAATTTTCTGACCTCTGATAATAATTATTTTTTATATTATTATACCGCAACCCAGTCCATAAATTTCATGTAACATTAAAAACCAAATTTTTCCTCCTAAAATTCTGGAGCTTCCAAACTATACGCCAGTTATTTGCATTTGTTTTTTCTTAACAAAGTTAGTCTGAGTACTTTGAAATCAATTAAACATCAACCATGAACCAGTATTTCTCAATATAAGTAGACAGCATGATTAAGTTAAATATTGAGGACTTCCAACATCATAGGTATCATTATGAAATTTATTTCACTTTTATTTTCCTTTTTGTTTCCAGGTTTCTATTCTCTCAAAAGGGTCAAATATAAATCTTGAAATAATTACTACTAGCACCTTTTATTATTGTACTCAGATTATCTACTTTAATAAATCACCATATATTATAGATGACCTTACTTAGAGGTTGTCCATAATACAACACCAAAACTGCCATCATTAGTGATTAAAAAACAAAACAAACAAACAACAATCAAAGTAAGTGTTTCAAACCATGTGGGCAAAATCAAGTAACTTATTGTTCACAATACTTTCAATGTTCAATTTCAGAACTTTATGTTGTGACTCCTACAGTAATCCAGGACACCCTACACACAAGAATGTCTCCCCCAGGTGTTTTATGTATATTTCTCAAGGAGAGAATGCAATAAAAAAAAATGGTGGAATATACCCAAGGAATGTTGATAACTCACCTTGATTGAGCGCCAGAGCGGGAGCATACACCACCACTCCTGTGTAGAGGATCTGGTGGAGAAATAAGGATTAGGTGAACAGTGAGGGAAGTGACAGGAAAGGAAAGCTGCCTAGAAGATTCTTTATGGACCTTAGAGATGCATGTCCTTCAACGTGTTCACCAAGCATTTCATTCCCATCCACTCTAATTTTGAATTTGTTGACCACTGTAACTAGTTTTCAGAAGGCATATATGTATTAGATGGAGGAAGGGGTTGGGCTTTTAAGATCGCTGGCAATTTTAAGATTTTATGGCCAGATTTGGTATATTTATGAAGGATAGAAAAATAGGCTTCAAGTTAAGCTTTTGAGTCACCCTCCCTTCTCTCCTCTTTCCCTACACACATATCACAATGACACAAATACATTTTTAGCAGTTTGTTGAAATATGGGTTTTAGAATGGAGATGGAAAGCATCTGTGAGGAAAAAGTACTGTGCAGAGAACACTAACAACATGGATGATCAACACAATGAGTACACCATCTAACTCGCAGAATTACAACCGCTATACTGATGGAAGTGGGTGCAGCCCCATTTTATTTCAAATGGAATTTCACCATGTAGAAATTCATGGACAGGTCAAGGGGCATTGTTTTCCTTCTTTTCTCTCTCAAATTCAGTGAGTGGGAGTTTTGACCAAGAAATGAGAAGTTTATATTTTAGCAGGAAGTACTTCATGAGTCATAGGAAACACACCAATGGTGTGCCACAGGCAACCTTGAGGTGACATGAGGACACCCCAGAGCTTGGGAGATAGGAGAGGAGTACAGAAAGGGGAAGTGGGAGTATTGGTTTGGAAATAATGTCTTAAAATGATTTTCAGAAAAACGGGTATTTCTGGTTCAACTCAGTTAACTAGTGAGGAAAAAAAAAAAAGGAAAGAAAGAAAAAACAGTTAACAGGCCATTTAATATCTTCATACCCAAAGCAACTTGTATAGGTTAAATAAGAGTTGAAATACATTTTTAAAATGTTCCTCCCCCCCCCTTTTTGTCTTATGATATATTGGGTCCTTGGGAAAGTCATGATGTATTTTTCTATGTTTTTCAATGCAAAAATGTGTCATGACTTTCCCGACAACCCAATACATTGGTTTGTTATTATTTGTACGTATGTATGGGGTATATGCAATGTCCAACTCTTGATGCAATCACATATCTTGAAAGTACTATCCTTGGAAGAAAGTACTTCCTTCTTAGTATTAAGTCTCTCCTTAAATGAATTAACTACCCCCTGAAATTAATCCGTATCTTGTCACCCCCCATTTCCACATCGGCCATAGCCCTTTACCCTTACCGTCTGCACAATGTAGATGACTGTTGCTGCATAGCGAACTGGTTTGTTGAATCGTAGTTGTAAGTACTAGAAAGAACAGAGAGAACATGTAATCAGCAAGTTTTACATAAGAGCTGCTGAGAAAGTTCTCATTTTCTTGGTATTTCTCTGAGTTTAGTGCTTTGGTCTTATAATGTGATTTTATGCTCTTATAATGCGATTTTATGCTCTATATACGTATACCTGGGAGAACAAGACAAAATTATGGATTGTTTAAAGTAAAAAATATATTAAAGCTCAATTGTAGCTCAAGCATCTCATGATGGTCAGAGAAGATATATGGGTTATGAGAATAAAAATGCAGAGATCTTCCTACTGGATATACTGAAGCCATCTTTTCCCTTTATATCCTACTTCCCCCAAATTGACTTCAGTCCTTCATTTCGTCTTTCCAGATTACTGCAGTAGCTCCCTAATTGATGTCCCAAATGCCAGTTCTTCCTACTCATTCCATCAACCACGCATCGGCCACATTAGTTCTCCTAAACAGAGCTCTGTTCATGTCACTCTTTTTCACAAAATCTTCAATGTTACTCCATCATTGACATAAAGTGCACATCCCAGGCTTGATATTCTACACCCTCTACTGTCTGATCCATGTTCTTCCTATCTTAAGTCAAAGTAGAGAGACAGTATGGAGAAAAAAATATATTCGAGGAGGGTTGTGTGGGGGTGGGGGGACATTGGATCAGGAGTAAGACTCCTTGAATTCTAGTTTGAACTTTGCCACCAGCTTACTCTTTAATCTAAGCCTGTTTCTCATCCATTAAACAAGAGAGACTATTTCAACTACATAATTCTACTTCTGAAAGAATACATTCACTCATTCTTTTAGTGTATTCACTCACTCATTCAATGGTCATCTTTGGTATGTATGTAGTTATTACACAGTAATATGAAAGTTCAACAGAAACATTGCATACTTCTGATCTTCACAGGTAACATTTACCATCACTACATTTGATTATTTTCAACCCCCCAAACCTGTTCTAGCCACATTCTTTTCCATCTCAGGGAACAGCCCATCCACTTTTCATGTTGGTTGAAGCCCAAATAACGTGAAGCCATCTTTTACTCTTTTCTTTCTCTCGCTGTGCACATCCAGTTTATAAAATAATTCTGGTGACCACCTCCCACTTTCAAAATATACTCACTTTCATCATCTCCTCTGTTGCCACACTAACACCATCATTTCTTACCAAAAAATAGCTTCCTAACTAAACCCCTTGCATCAAAACCCTATAATCATTCTCAACATTCAGCTAGTGTAATACTCAAAATACAAATCATATCATGTCACTCCACTGCCCAAACACTGTAATGACCCATCTCACAGACAGTAAAAGTCAATCCTTACAATGACCTTAGAGGTTTCATAACATTGATTCAGACCTTATAAGATTCTAAATGTCCATTTCACAACAAACATTTTGTAACATTATTTACTATGCTAAAATAATATTCAATAGTGATATCTTATACCTACACATCTAAGTTCTCAAAATTTAAATATAACTACTATAATGCCACAAATGTAATTTAAAGGAGAAACTAAAGGAAAACAATTTGCCAAACCAAAAAAAAAAAACAAAAAGTTACCTGTAATGCTTAAAACCACTATAGAAGAAGATGTAGAGAAGTGGTACCTTGTGCATTATTACAATGCAAAGGTTTGGATTAAAGAGAAGTGGTTAGGAAGTCATTTAGTTTAAGAAGTCCTAGCAAAATAAGAGAGCAGGTAGGCACCAGCCTCTAAAGTAGTGCGAAGAGTAAATAATAATAGACTGGATTTATTAGTATATGATAAGATAGACAAAGAAATAACTAACTGAAGTGGAGACAACTTGATAAGACTAATTATAAACTGTCCAAGTGGAGCTAATGAAAATATATAATATTGCAAATGAGCTGAGCCTAATTTATAACTGGAGGGTGAGAACAAATCCTTATGCTATAACATGGGATAAAGTAGCACAGATGGCATATTTTAGTCTTGAAATCCCACTGAATACAAAGCATTTAAATCAGTTAGTTATTAAAATAAATAAATAAATAAATCAGTTTGCTATTGCTGTAGAATACCCACCACAAAACTCATGGGCTTAAAAATCAAGGATTTATTAATCCTCATAGTTTTGAAAATTGGCTGGGTTTGCCCCTACTCGTTTCCCCAGAACTCTCGTTTGTTTGCAATCAACTGGAAGATCAGCTGGGTGAGAAGATCCAAGATGGCCTCACTAACACAGCTGGTCGTTGATGTTGGCTGTTGGCTAGGGTGCCTCTGTTTTCCTCTGTGTTTCTACTTATGCCCCAGAAGCTAGCCCAACTTGACCAGCTACCTGACATAGCGATATCAGGACAGCATTCTAAGAGAGAATGGCAGAAGCTATGAGTTTAATCAGGGTTAGGTTCCACACATCACTGTTGCCACATTCTGTTGGCCAAAACACATCACAGGGCCAATTCACAAGAGGTGGAGAAATAGATTCTACTTCTTTCAGTCTTTCGTACTTAAAAAGACCCTGGAGAGAATATCTATGGATAGGTAACACGGAATGCTGGATGAACAAAGAAACATAAATTTGAGCTTCTATAGAGAGATTGAGTTGAAGTATAAATTTTGAGACACTAAAAACAACAATAATAATATAAAACTTAGGTGGTGTTTACCAGGTTGTGTTAAAGTATTTGCATATATTTCATTTACTCCTCACAGACATCCTTTGAGCTAGGTGCTTTTATTACGACTATTTCATATATGTCAAAATCAGACACAGAGGAGCTAATTAATTTTCTCAAAGGCATACAGCTAGCAAGTGGCAGAGCTAGCTTTCAAAGCCCAACAGACTGAGTCTAGAGTCTATGCTTTTAACTTTTATGTTACACTGCCAGTTCTTATAAAGCAAGAGGCAATCTCAAAATATCCCCATACGTACTTTTCATAATCTTGATTTCTTATTATTAAGATATGAAAAAATTAAAAACATATAGAGGACAACAAAGTTTGTAAACTAAATTCATGTATTATAATGTCATCATAAAGGCATTCCCATATATAGATACATTTTAAAACAGGCAATTAGTTTCTTCAACCCATGTGTGTCCCACAGAGACACTGATATTATAAATGGTTTTTTTATTATATCTGCACTAATTTAATCATTAAAAGAGAGTTTCAAATCTCCTCGGTCACATGTTTGCAGTTGGTTTAATGTAATAACTGAACCACTTTACTAAAACCAGTTAAAGCTAAGTAGGTATTAAGCAGCACATATGGAATAGATGGATTGCACAGTAAATTTTTTAATAATTTTAAGACATTGTTTTTATTTCATTTTAATTTGGGAAAAATATACTAATTTATAGTGTGTGTATAACTTCTTATTTTAAAAAGTTAATATTATTAGGTGGCAAAGTACTGCACATTTTATTTGCAGTAGGTGTTGAGTATGAGGGCATTCAAAAATTATTAAACCCATGGTACAATTACTCGTTATATATGCATGTCTTACACACGGCAAGACATCTGGTGGTCCTGCTCCTGCTTCCTAAATTCCAGCAGTGCCCCCCAATCATTGTGACAATCAAATTGCCCACAAATCCAAAGCACTTCCTCTGCCTGACAGCGCTGTCACTGCAAGTGGCATCCTGTGTAACTGGGCCTTTCCATCTCTTTGATCTCGTCTTTCACGTCTGTCCTTGGCTCACTCTTCTCCAAGCACACTGATACCTTTGCTTTCCTTCAAACATGCCAATTACACTCCTCTTTTAGGGCCTTTGCATCCGTGGCTACTTCAGGCTGGGATGTTCTTCCCTCATATGGTGTAATTGCCTGCTTTCTCCAGGCCTCCTCTTAACTGCCTTATTATCCCTGAAGCCTGACTGATCCACCCTGTGTGAATTCTTGACATTCTCCACCCACACCAGCTCTCCTTCTCTCTACCTTATCCTAGTTACTTTTTCTCTATTGTATTGAGTAAGCCAGGATAGCATAGTGATGCAGCATATAATCTCAAAAGTTAGACTGATCAGGTTGGAAAAACTGCCAATTGCTAGCTGCGTGACATTGAGCAAATTGCTTAACTCTATGTGCCTTAGTTTCCTAGTCTGTTAAATGGGGATGATAATGATAACACCTATCTAAAAAGATTATTTTAAGGCCCAATGGGCTACTACATATAAAGTACTTAAAGCAGTACTCGGCATACAGTTAAACAGCATATGCATTTCTGTTATATAGTATGTTTACTGACTACCCTTCCCTGCCATACACTACGCTCCACAAGGACAGCGATTTGGTCCAGTGCTTTCTCTCTGGGGCCTAGAAGTGTGCTTCATGAATATTTACTGAAGGTATGGTTAGTAGTAAAAGTGATTTTTCATATTGGGTATTTTTTCTATAATTAAAGAGCCTTTTCACACTTAACCTAACATTCATGGAAGAGGAGAGTTATTATTTTCTGTGTGAAAACTGGAGCTGATAAATGTTAAGTAAGTTTCACAAAGTCATCTTGCTGTGAAGCAATGAATTTAAAAATTGAACTTGAATTTTCTGACTCCACATTCTCTCTCTCTCTCTCTCTCTCTCTCTCTCTCTCTCTCTCTCTCTCTCTCTCCTAGCAGTTACTTAGGCAATCCTTTTTTCCTATTTATTTATTTATTTATTATTAATTTTAGATGTACAAAACAATACAATAATTATAATTTTCACCCCTCACAAAGTGACAACCCCCCTTCCCCAATCCACCAAGCAATTCTTTTTAAAATGCTAGCAATGCCTTTGGGATTCAAAATTTAATAGGTGAATGGAAAAACCTAGAATATATTTATATTTTTAGAAGTACACTAATGAGCAATGGGGTTATGTGTATATATATATATATATATATATATATATATATATATATTAAGACTAAGCATAAGTTTCATCATTTTCTCTTGAATCTATATCCCAGGTAGTAGCTATTGAATGATCCAATCCTTGATTACCTTCTTTTGGGAGGCGAGAAGGTTGATGCTGGATATTTAAGATATGATAATCTGTGGAATCATAAGTTCTAAAACCTGCCAGAAAATATTCGTTTGCCTGAATGCCTTTCGAAGTCTAGAGTAATTCTTTATAATCATTTAGCTTACAGAATTAAAAACAAAGAAACAGGCCTGGTAAGAGTCCTCTGCTGTGACTTAGTAGGGATGAAGATGGATAAAGAAAATAAACATCTTTTTCATAGAAACTGATTAATAATCACACTAAAACACTGGGCATGCAAATTTGTATTTTAACATGATATTTTTTCTTGCGAATTATTGCAAAGTTAAAACACTGCTGCCTCCTTTTCCTCTCATTAAAATAATCCCCATGTTTGTATCATTTAGCAATTCCTTCCCATTAAAATATTTTCTAGCTTTTCAAAAACATTATCATTTCCCCATTAAAAATTGGAGCACAGTAATAATTTGCATTAAAGTGCTCAGCTCTACTATCTGATGGAAAGAGAAACACAAAATGATTCTCAGTAAGCTGTATCCAGTATTCAACCTTGACTAAGTCATTTATCTGTGCTATCTCTGTTTTCTTACCTGGAAAATGACAACATGCATGATATTACAAAAAATAACTTCAGCTCTCTTTCACTGAAAATCTCTTACAAGTTAGGCAATGCATTAGGTGTGCATGTACAGGTTCTCATTTATTCGTTGAAATAGTCTCATGGGGTTGACGTCATTGTTCCCATTCTACAGATGAAAGAACAGGTGTGTCTGTATCCAAAGCTTAAGCTTTTCCCAATACTATTGCAATATTTTTCCCTTATGTAACTGTCTGGAAAATAAGTGAGCGTTCTTTTGTACAATGTGTTATCACCAAGAGGATGTATATTATTAGAGGAAAAAAAGCAAGAATTAAAAAAAAATGTTCAAATGGAGAAAAAACAGCAACCCCTCCCAAAGTAAAGAATAAGGGAGGATTCGCCTTACCTCATAAGTGCTCGTGATGCCAGATCTGTAGAACACAGGCAGAAAGAGCTCTGATGTGAAGATGATGACAAAAGTATATGCAATGAAGAAGAGCATGAAGGAGGCCCCAAAGCGGTAGACCTCGGAAGGGGCCCCCAGGACAGTGACAGCGGACATGAAGCTGGCTGTCAGAGACAACGCCACAGGGCCAAAAGTCATTTGCCTTCCTCCGACCAAGAACTCTCTTGAAGTCGCCTTTTTTCTCTCCTTAATAGCAAAGAACACCCCAATTCCGGAGGAAATGATAAACAGGCCTGCAAACACGACATAATCCCAAGTCGCAAAGTTCTTCACCTCCATGGTGGGAAGTGTGGCACCAGCAAGTTGCTTTCAACCAGGTCTCAGGGAAAAGTTGTTTCCAAAAGCAAAGCTCAGTTCAGCAGATTCTTGGCTGAGAAAGGAAACTGTGATTCTGTGAAGAGAATGATGACCAGAGGCACCTTTGGGGATCTCCAGACACCAAGTTGTACTCAGGGATGATCTCAAAAGTTGACGCCAGAGAGAAACCTTGTATTGGTACCAACAAATAAGAACTTGAAATCTGACCCTGACCAGGAGCTGTCTGTTCCTCTACTCAAGCATATGCCACAGACAAGGAATTCAGATGTGTTCCGAAATTAATAACCACTGGGGGTGGAATGGACTTGCCAGATAACATGCTCTTTTATCTCTTAGATTTTTTTTTTTTTTAACTTAAGGTTAAACATTACTGGGAAACAGAAGTGATACAAGTTGACCACCTCAGCATTTTAAATTAGCGAAATGGAATCTGTAAAATGCAAACACAACCCTCTGTGGTGTCTTTCTCCTGAGTAGGGGAGGTGGAGGATGTGGGCCTGTGATTTTCTGCAGCAGTGGGTTTGGAGGGAAAGGAACGGAGAACTAGGAATCAGCAGACCTTTGCTCAAGTTGACTCAGCCTTCAGTGAGGTGTCATATTGTTGACAAATCATTTCACCTTTCTGAGCTCCACATGAACCTGGGAACAATGACCTTACAGGGTTATCATGAGTCTTTAAGTTTCTCAGGCTTCCTGGCCATCTTTTATCTGATCTGTAACATGAAAGATAATAACATTTACCTTATTGGCTATTGTTTGTGCTTACAGGGGAATACTACTGAGCATAACAGCTGATTCTTTCTTGACTTTAGGCCTCAAAAAATGGACTTACCAGTAATTAATAAATTGTCTGTAGTCCATCCAGTTATGGAGTCCTGTTTCTGCTTTTGCTAGACTCTCTCTTGATTGTTCTGAAGTGCTCCCAGAGAGCCTTTGAGGTGGGGGGGAGGGGCACTTTCTCTATGCCGTTTATGCTTCTCTTCCCATCTCAATGGTTTTTCCCAACCCTACCTCAACAAAGCCTGTCTATCCCATAAGATCTAGCTCACGTCTCCTCTGTTCCATGGAGCTTTTCCTGACTCATATTTTCTGCTCCCCCACCCCCACCCAACTCCTGTAGGAAGCAGCCTCCGTGGTACTCACTTTACACTCTGCAAGTACCCTCACCTATTTTAAAAAACCTCAATTGTATGTCTGATGTCTGTGTGAGTTAGTCAGCTGTTGTAAATGGCTCACTGAAGACAGAGACACAAATCCTGATCCACAGAGCCCAATGAATAGTAGCTATTGTAGAAAATAAAGAAACAATTTTAAAAGAAAAAAAAATTATCTATAACACCCAAGGCCAGAAATATTTCCTATCAAACAAAAGAAACTCTACATTTGCTTTTTACATCTAGGTAATGGAGTAAATCTTTGATTATTTGTTTAGTCTGGATACTGTCTTCACTCCCTACTTTGTTCCATCAATTTGAATTAGGCCATAGAAAGCTTAGATTGCTGAAATAAGCTTTTAGTTACAAATAAATATGCAAAAACTGCCAGGAGCTGTCTGTGACCTGTTGTTTAGATTCCTCCTCTAAGTTTACAGAGTTGATGTGATCAGTTTGAACAGAAAAGTACGTCTTTAATATTTTTTACGTTAGCCTAAGGCTTTTAATTATTTTTATCATGAGGTATTCTAATTATATAACAGGTTTCTTTTTTTGTAATGGTCTCAGCAGAAAATCAGAACTCTGGCTTCAGAGCCTTGACTACCTTATATTTTAATATTAACACCACCTAAGTGTTAATATTAAATCCACAAGTCATGTAACCAACTTGTACAAGTCAGGTGAATGTTAATTCAAACCACTATTATTACATCAGTGATGTTCTAAGGTTAAATACCAGAAGCTTGTAACTATAGACTTGATGAGTACTGTGGGTTTTAATTAACTTTTGTGAAGACACAGTATTACCTATATGATCTGCATTAGTCTTGGATTTCAAAACAGTGGGGAAGCAGAGCAGCTAATGGTTTTCAATGTGAAGGAAACGTCTTGTCTCTCATGCTGAAGTATTCCTCGCTTCCGACGTTTCACTGATTACCAGGCAGCGCATCAATGTATTCATTTAATTCTCAGTTATTGTCTATACTTTTACCCTTTGAGGAAAGGGTATAAAAGAAAGGCTGTGGTAGTATTCCATGTCTTCAAACTCTCTTCCTCTTTCCCATTAAAACTTGCTCTATGCAAGGTTTATGCTGATTATAAGGCACAGCATCAATTTATTAATAACTTTTCAGGGAAAACAAAAGAACCAATGCATTTAATGGCCACATCAACTAGAAGTTACGTTCTTATACCAGAAATATTAACATGGGGGGAGAAGAAAGGAAATCGTGCTCCTTTGACATGACAAAACCCCAGTGATTCATGCACCCTCTTGCAGGTGCCTCAAATGCCACCATTCATGCTTTATTCCTTTAGTGCAATACTGAGACCCTTGTTAGCCTGTAAACATCATCACTTGCCACACACACACACACACACACACACACACACACACACACACTCCCCTAACAAGCCCCACTCTCCAATTACCCACCTGCCTAATAAGTAAGATTTATAATTGTTATCATTAATAGTCTCTACTGCAAAATAGTTCTGCACCTTGCATGGAGAAAGTTATAACGAGGAAGAGGAAGACAGCTTGAGAACATCGAACGCTACCAAAGGGAGGAAAGCGTAAATAACTGGAAAGATAGGGCATCCAACAACAACAACAACAACAAAAGATGCGATTGTTGTGGTGTTGCCAATAGCGGACTATGCACACCATGTCTATTTTGGCCTGAGACAGAAAGGAGGAAAATACACATGGACAGGCCTTGGTCATTCTGAGACTGCACTATCACTCGATCACCTTCTTCTCCCATCTGTTCTTAATGCCAGTGGGAACAGGTGTAGAGAAGTGGGATAAGATCGCTGTTATTTTGTTTTGTTTTGATTTTAAACAAGGAAGTGGCAAGATCAGAAAACTGTGCCTCAGAAAGAGTAAGCTAGTCTAATAATTTTACATGATGAATTTCCTTTTTAATTCAGTGGACGTCAACAAGAATGGCTCAAAGAACTTACCACAATGTGAGTAAACTGCCTAAATTCGGTAGTGAAGGCTGTCCCCTCCACCCCCCGCCCCCAGAGTTCTTTCAGTGAGCATCCCTATGTAACAAATCCCTAGGATAGAAACTGGTGACAAGAAGTTATAGCTGTACAGAAATTAGGTTTTTTTTTATAACTGCAATGGGACTATAGCTATTTCTGACTTCCAAGGGGATATTGAATACTTCCTATTTTGAAGAAGATAATTATTTATAATGCTTACTTCTACTAGTAGAGACTGATGAGAAATGGACCATATCCAAGAATTTTATCATGAAAGCGAAACCTGCAAATCTAGAGTTTCTTCTCCTCCTTTGAGCTGCAAAATACATGACGCACAATAGAAGTCTCTTAATTGACACGCACTTTTATGACTATAGAAAGGTTAGGTCCAAAGAGAAAGTAACAAAGACAACAGAACTCTGCTTGCATACTAACAGGCTTTTTTTTTTTTACCCCATCCGTGGAAATGGTGTTGGAGACAATGAAATAGCACAAGAATCTGGCCAGTGTCAGTCAAAACCAGTGAAAATGTCCCAGTGCAAGGGAGAGCCAAAGGGGTGTTAACAATGGGAATAATTAGTATTAAATGTTAAATTTGTCTCAGCTTTATTGAGATATAAGTGACATACCACAGTGTGCAAGTTCAGTTTTACATGTGATGATTTAATACACTTGTATATTGCAAAATAAATACCATAATAGGCCAGTTAACACTTCTATCACTTCATAACTTATGACGGGGTAGGGGGTAAGAATATTTAAGATCTATTCTTAGCAACTTTCAAGTAGTTTACAACACAGTATTTTTAACTATAGTCATCAAGTTATACATTAGATCTCCAGAAAAATGTTACATTTTGTCATGTTGTATTGGAGTGTAGTTCCCTTCTTTACCCCAACCTTTAGGGAAATCTGCTACATCACTGGTTTTGTATTGTGTTTCATCATTCAATTAAAGGGAAAGAAGGTTGCGTTTATCTTTGGGCTCAAAATGGGGGTTGAGGAAGGAAAATGTTGGAGGAAGTAGAACACCAAAATAAAATATCATCCAGGGCCTGGCAACTTAACCTACTGAGGAAATCAAGTCTTAGAACAGAATTAGAAAACATAGAATTAGAATAGAGTTTTGAAGAATTACTTCTTAGTATAGAATTCCAAAAGACACACAAATATTACTGAGAGACTCAGCACTTGAAGAAGAGTGAGTGACCAGTGTGGGTAGATTTCCGTTATGACTACCTTGATCGCTTAAGAAGGAGGACAATAATATCTTTGATTTGTCACAAAACACTGAAGAATTTAATCTCCCAAATCCTTGGAATCTTGATGATCTTTGAGGTTGAAGTGGGGACGAAGACCACTTGGTGTCACATTCTATCAAAGCCAGGAGATTGAGCTTTCCTGTCTTTCTTGTTTTGTTTTTCTTGTCTTTTTTATCTCCATTCTCCCTTTCCTTTTCCTTCCTCCCTCCCTCCCTCCCTCCCTCCCTCCCTTCCTTCCTTCCTTCCTTCCTTCCTTCCTTCCTTCCTTCCTTCCTCCCTTCCTCCCTTCCCCCCCTTCTTCTCTATCTCTTCCTAATATTGAAGAAAGATGATCTGGGAAGGCTCGAGGATTTCAGGCAACCAGGATTTGACACTTGAATTTCATTCACACATTGTCGCTAGAAAAATATTTGTTCCCTAAGCCCTTGTGTGATATAGTTAAAAACATCCTTTATCTGCAACAAAAGACCAAGTCTTTTTATCCAACCTCTCAGTAAGCCATCATGTGATTTTGGATGTTATTAATTTCTCTGGTTCTTAGCTACCACATTTGTAAATATGATGGTATATCATATTAATAATTAGATAATTAGACTAATGTAAGTAACTAAATCATCTTTTCAAGTCTGCTCAGATGTGACTTTCTTTGACCAATTTATTTAAATTGCAAACAAATACATTCCAAATCTTCCTTTCTACTTTATTTTTTCTCAATAAAATGTATTCCCTACTAATATACTGTATAACAATTTAAATCTTTTTTTTTTTAAGATTTTTATTGGGGAATTGGGGGATGGGAACTGCGCTGGGGAATTGGGGGAAGGGGAACAGACAAGTTGCTGTCTTTTTGTTCTTCAGTCTAGTTGTGGAGGACGTTGCTTCACTGGCCCGAGTTGGTACCATCATTGTGCTCTTCCCGGGCGAGGC